GTGGTGTTCCCTTTCCTGTAGTGTGTTTTATAGGTTTTTGATCATGTATTAAATGGTCTGCAAAGTCAAAAATCCCTGTGCTCCCTTCAGAAAGAGTTTCTTCCCCACACACTGTCCCCGCCAGAAACGCCTCCATTGGACTCCTTTATACTTCTGTAACATAGTTGCATCACTATAACACTTGCGCTTCTATTGGCTAGCGCAACACATTTTATGTGATAGGCTAAGGGGTGGGACATCTCTAAGCTTCTGGTTCCCTCATCGTTCTTGTAAGCCAAGCACACTCTGTTATTGTTATACGATTAGATAAAATATACTACATTCCTCCCAAATTAGGAAATGTTGTTGATGTTAAAAAGTCTGTCTTGTGTTACCAGGGGTTACTGAGAGCTGAGGCGAGCACAGAGAAACTATCCTTCTTCAGCAGATGAATGTGGAAACATAGCATATACATCTTTCTGCTGTGTACAGCTCCTAAATCCAAATGAACAATAAGCAAAAACACATCTGCAAATTAGCACCCCCATGTGGCACTGGGAAGGAAGCGTTTAAAAAAGACAAAAACAACATGTCATCAGTGAAACAAACCACCAATTGCGTTTACATTTAATAGTAAAAGGGTGAGTACAACACAATGCAGAAAGTGTATATCGCTTGGGTTAAGTGAACATTTGTACACATGTTAATGGGAGGAGCAGGGACGTGCACAGACATTTTGGGGGGCGGTGCTCAAGTGAGAAAAAGAGCACTTCCCATAATCATTTATAAAAAAATGTTTTAAAACAAAAAGTTAAATATAGTTGCACATCTCTGACTTACTGACCAATTTATTTTAATACCCTCACACTCACGTAATTGTTTAATACTCAACAGAATTCTACAAAATAATCAGCTAACACAGAGACAATGGTCTTCTTTAGTATTCACTAAGCACAAGAGCAGACAACAAACTGGTAAAATTAATAGTTATTAAATGAGCAGCCAACAATCAAAATGATGAAGTTACTGTTTAAGGACATTACAGGCAAAAAGATCGTTTTTTCATGTACTTGTTATTTTGGTCTATTTTGCTTCCATGGAAATAAAACTTTCAAGAAACACATATAAATGGTGTTCGTTTTACTACCATGTCTGAATTCATCTATAGATTTAAAGCTAATCTGCATTTAAACATAACATTTCCGGGGAAAATACTGACTTGACGTAAGTAACTATCTGGGGAAGTTGTGAGGTGATGTGTTTTTTAGCTTGATCCTTTTTACCTGCAATGCTTTGGTAACTGCATGCAAATTAGCACATTGTAATTAGGCCTAGTTAACGCCTAATCTGCATATCAATGTGGCGATTGTGATGACGTTATTAGATACACATTTGACTGTATTCACAAGTGTCTCCCCTTAGGCTACAGTACATTAGCCTGTATGCCCATGATAAATTACCTTAGTTAAACCTTGAGCTAACTTATCCATTAGCTAGTAGCCTACCTAGTTAACTATATTTGTTATTGTCTTTTAGCTAATTAGCTGTAAACTCGAGGCACTGGCAGTTTACTAATTTGTTCATCACCAATCACCTTCAAAATAAGCCAAGAAAAGCCGGCATAACATGGGGCAGTAAAGTGGGAGGTGCTGCTACCTGTCTGTCTGAAGGGACTGCCGATGACTGCACCGCTGTGCAGGAGACGGGGAGGGAGGGAGGGAGGGAGGGTAGAGAGAGCATCGGAACTTCACAGTCTAATCTCCCGACCTGATATTCTGTATTCAATCAATATATTTTTGGAAAGGGAAACTGCGCAAACAGCAGTAGATATATATTCATTTATAAAAATTAAAAAAAGGGGGAAAAAGGGCACTTTCTCTGGAGGAAGAAAAAGGGCAGGGGCTCAAGCCCACTTTAATGTCTGTGTGCACGTGCCTGGGGAGGAGGTTACGGACACTGGAGTATTTCCATACATGTAAATTATTACATTTCCCCCCACTATTGATAGTGTCATTTTGAGTGTGCAGCTCTTGTTTCTGATCAAACACAAATCTAAATATAGTTTATTTTTTCTCTTTTCTCTTTTCTCTTTCTTTTGGGGAAAGGAGAAGAGCGAGTAACTTACAATTCATGTTTTGAATCACATTGGCTTTGTTCTCTTCTTTAATACAGAATTAAAGGTGGGGTAGGTAAGTTTGAGAAACCGGCTCGAGATACACTTTTTGTTATATTCCATGGAATGCTCTTAACATCCCGATAGCAATGAATATCTTAAGTGCTTTGACAAAAAATCCATACAAAAATGTCATCTGTGGAAGCCGTAGTACTGTAAAAAGCACGACCAATCATTTTAGCCGGCCCGGCTAAAATAACTAGATGGCCCACCTGCCTGTCAGCCTTCCATCTGTGCACAAACTTATCTCGTGCCCTCATTGGTCATGTGCGCGTTCGTGTGTGTTGGAGGAGGGGCTCTGTAAGGAAGTGCAGATTTTTTCCGGCTGTGTATTTTCAAATTCTAGCGCACTCGAGCTGAGGCCTGTACTACGAAGCTGGTTCAACCTAACCTGGATATGTTGGAGTTAGCCGGTTGGCCTAAGCCAAAACATACGCGCTGGCGCTAAACTGTACTACGACGCCGGTTATCAAGTGGATCGCTCAAGCCAGCCGTGTCCTATCTAGTTAGGTGCGCGTTCACATAAAAGGGGTGGTATTTGGAGCATTCGACCAATCTCAAACACGGACAAGTGTACTGACAGCGCAGCGTCATACTTCCTGAATGAAAAGTGAACTTTAATATTAGTCAAATATGAAGAAGTTAAACTTTAAACATCCATGACTTAAACACTTTATCCAGGATAAAAGCCACATAGCTGCACCTGCAAGGTGAATACAGCTGGTAAAAGAAAAAGTGTTTGAATGCGTACATTAACAGGTTTATGAAATCACTGCCCCGTCTAAGACACGATCTGACTTTAATTACATTTGACTCGAGTGTTTCGTCAACTTAATGTGTTGCTTAAAATAATACTTCTGCATACAGTATGTGACACTGTGAGTGTTGCACGGCCAGATACGGCTCAAGAAGCTGACTCAGATAAGGAAATATATGATACATTATGATGTGATATGATGTGATATGATATGAATGATAATGAGACACATCGACGTCTGCACTCACAGTGCCGCGGACTGTACTTAATGTTACTCTGATCCGGTTACTTATGTCGTGGCAGATATTTAAGTAAGCTTTCTTAACGCTAATATTATAATATTCAGATTGCTCTGAAGATGGGAGGGGATATTCTATTAATTTTCACGGCCGTCTTTCCTGCAACGGCAGTTTTTCTGTATTTCCTTTATCCTGTAATATGAATTGATCGCTTTAAACTCCGCACACGGAGCTCTGATTGGTCAGCAGGCGGTGCTTTCACTGAGTTGATCTCTTAGCCTGCCACCTAACCTGCTCCGGAGCAGGTTTGCCGCTCAGCATAAGTTACCATGGAAATCTAGCCTGCTAAAAAGAGAACCAGCGTCGTAGGACCGGAAAGCCCGAGATTTCCCTGAATTTAGCCGGCTAAGCGAAAATCCAGCTTCGTAGTACAGGCCTCAGGTTTCTCCAAAATTACCTACCCCACCTTTAAGTCTACAGGCCTATTGCTTGTTTTCAGTGGCGTTTTTATATGTACAAAAGTGGTGGGGCACAAAAAACTTAGATGTCTATAGCTTCTGCAGTGACGTGCAGTGAGGTTCATGGCTGGTGAGGCACTGGCACTGACTCTTCAGGTTTACAAATATTATATTTTGACCTAAACCAAAATATAATATTATTTTCAAAAGCTTTTTTTGTCTGATGCTTCGATTAATTTTAAACAGACAGTTCAACAAAAGGATACCCAAAAAATGTAATTTTATCATTTAAATATTGAATTGTTCTCTCTTAGTAAGATCCCATTTTCAATAAAATTGCGGTCTTACCTTGACTTGAAGATGAAGTCCATTTGCCTATCCTTCTGGACAAACATTTCTATTACTTTTTTGTAAAAGTCCTCCTTGTAGTTTCAAAAGTCTATCATAAATCTAATCGATAGATTTATGATAAAAAAATTATAAAAGTAGGGTAGACATGTGGATGTTATCCGGCTGAACAAAACGTGTATTTATCTAACAGGTACGTTTCCCACAGATCTTATTTCGAGCTATTTTCTAAAATCCTCTGGAGAAACCTCATTGCTTTTTTGTGCTTACTTCCTGGTTTTAGGACGCGTCACTGCAGCTCTCTCGTCTCCTCTTCACACACACCACACTTTTCGCGGCACACGTACTTACAGCCAATCAGCTCTGAATGATTTGAGATGACGTATGGTGGGGATGGCAGCTCCGTGCCCCTCTGGTCATTATTTTTTTGCCACACACATTAACGGGGGAAATACTCTGAGCATGCGCAGTGTAGTTTTTACAGTCATCGTTCACTTCACAGCGAGAGGAAGGGGCATGATCAGGTTTTGTCCCACATGGCTCTAAACAGCTCAATAGGCACACACTGTGACTGTAGACACTAATTAGAAGAACACAGACTAAAACAGCAATGTACAGACGAATCAGATGATTCAACATGATCTTAAAATATATTTTATATATTTTTTTATTTTTTTTTTGCATTTTTTGTAATCATTACTTGTAATACTTTCTGCTGACACTAGGTGGGGCTGTGCCCCACCTGCCCCTAATGACCAGTCGCCACTGCTTGTTTTACCATTTCTGGGCAGCCTGAACATTTGTTTCTTTATATTTAAGTAAGTTACAACCAATTTGACAAAGTGGATTATGGAATAGTGGAGTTGAGAATCGTTATTTAATGTGGCCAAGAATGAGTCCCCTCAGTAAAAGAACTGTGTTTGCAGCACTATCGAGACTCAAAGTAAACACCGTGTGGCTGCAGCCCGACAGTCCAAAACAGCAGCAGAGACCTCACTGAACAACAACACACGTCATTTAAAGGGGGAGATGGCTGTGTCACGTGGTCCTCTCAGCTTCCTGTTTACCGCCTGTTTTACCTTCAGACTGTAGTACACAGATTGCAACACCGCTCTGCACTGCTGGGGATTTATTTCACAACAACATATGTAGCGACAGAACTGAGATCCTGCAGCTACATGGTTGACTACTGTATAACTGTATTCCTTGTATCGTCTTGGCCATGGTTACTAAGGAGACATGAAGACGTGACATTGAGGAAACGTGAGCAGGCCTGGGAGGATCCTGGGGCTTTCCTGACTCCAGCTGACCGGAGTTCAGTTAACGTTCGGCGGTGTTGAGACTCGGCCATCACTTCACCTCATATTGCAATTGGAAACCAAGAAGCGGTGATGTGGAGGACTACAAACGTCTGAAATTGTTTACATGAGTTCACGGAGATATCAGTTAAAGGAAACGACAAAGCTAAGCTGAACTAGCTTGTGCCGTGCTAACTCGGGAGGCAGCAGCAGTCGCCGCCGCGGTGTGAGTGGCAGGCTGTGGGGGCTAGCTGACGGGTTGTGTTAGGAGAGTGGAGCAGCTCGCCGGTGCCCTGAATTCAAGAGGACTCCCCGGCTCCGGCCCCCTCAAGCGGGCAGTCAGGAAGAAGCTGGCTGGGAAGGGATGGCCTGGTCGGCCTTCCCGTTCCTTAGGACAAGGCTCTGCGGTGTTTGAAGGAGGTCGAGTTCGGCTAGAGGCCACCACCGCGGGTCGTGGCGCTATGATGGCCGCCTCCCCTTCCCTGGCCGGCGGTTTCCCAGCTTCCGCGCTATCGTTCAAAAAGAGCGAGGAAATCGAGGATTTGATAGATTTGTTTTCCAAAATGCAGTACAGAGCAAAGGAAGTGACTCCTCGGGTAAGATTGTGGGTCATCATTCGGTGTGTTTTAGCTGCTTGACAACAGGTCATTGTCTCTTGTGTCATTGCACAATGCTGGAATAATGGAATTAAAGTGTCCTTGTACGTTAGCAAAACAACACATACTGCAAGTAGTGATTTATGACCTCTTTACAACCTTAAGCAACCACTGATCAGATTGGCATACATCTGATAGTTTGTATGTGTAGACGATGAGCAGGTTGTGTTGCTCTTGTGACCCTCTCCTGTACTCATAGCCTTCATTTGTATTGGAAATGTATGTGTTATTGTTGAAAACGTGAATTACTATGGGCATTTCGTTTATTCATAGTTAAATATATTTTTCTATATTGTAAGAGCAGTTCCTAGATCGCATTTTTAACATCAACATGCTATTGTTGTTGTTGACCTACACTCTGCTTAGTGACACAACTGAATGTAAAGGAACACTCACTTTACTGGTGAGAGTCTGCTTCTAACTTTGACACCATGTGTCACACAAACAGCTAGATCTGCATGCACAGTATGTGTGGATACTTCTTTTAGAGGTGATCCACAGCTGAACAAAAATCAGTCATCAAGCTACTAGTGTTTATGTTAATGAGATGCTACCTGATGTAATTAATATTACATCTGTTAAAATAATGCACATTTCAGAGATGAAGCTGGACTTTGGTTAAATGTGGTTGTTAGGTTACCTATATAGTTTAATCATCTAAAAACGACTCATTCCCAAGTTCTGTTATTTTCCAGAAGAAGAAGAATGATGTCCCTTTTTTAAAACAACTACTATAACTCTGTCTTTGTTTCTCGTCCTCAGGTAGAGGCGATAGAGAAGCGGTGTCTGGAGTTGTTTGCCAGAGATTACAAGTACAGCATCATCCACAACGCCAATGGAGAAGTGTGCGGGCATTACCCCAGGCAGATCGTGTTCCTGGAGTACGAAAGCACAGATGTGGAGAGAGACAGGTACCGTCTCCCCAGTTATTCTCTGATCCAAAGTTCAGTCCACTCGGTTACCAATTCCCTCTTGTTTGTTTGTGTCACTCCTGAACATGCTCACCTTGCTGCAGAGCAAAGGTCAGGCTCCATCTCCAGCCCCTCTGCTCACACCAAGCAGCAGAGAGGGAGGGGGAACTTCTGAAGTCACATCTGGAATGATTTATAGTGATTCAATAAGTCCTAACTTCTCACTGCTGTTAATGCAGTTAGACTCTTTTCCACCGTAGTGCTGAAAATAGAAATTGTGCTGAAACAAAGGAGGAAACCCTGATTCACAAGAAAGGCTTTAATAATAAACTGTGTTTTAAAAAAAGCCTTATTGGGCAAATCCCTCATGGCACAGAACTTTTTCCCCTCTAACAAAATGTTTCATGTTTTAATTTTATAGTCGGTCTCGCAGTCTCCCACAATTCAAAATAACAAACTGGGAGAAATTCTTAAATTCCTCATAGCATCATCAGGTCAATTGAAAATGTGTGCATGTGCAATTTGTTATAAAATATCAATGTATTGGTAGCATTGCTTACAATTCTTCACCCAGAAATATGAATAAGACAGTTATATTGTTGTCCTGAGAAGGTTATCTGTCGTGAACTTTTGGATCATTATTTATTTTCTTGTACTTTTTATTATCATACATTTTTTGACTTCCTTGTGTTCCTTGAATTGTTATATTATGTTTTTATGCTGCATGTGTGCAAAACGTTTTTAACGTTTGACCTGAATTGGATTTCTTGTTTCTTTAATTTGTGATCTGTGCCATGTTGTAAAACACTTAGAGCGGCACCTAGTGTACGAAAAGTTCTATACAAGTAAAGCTATATTATCATTTTATCATGGTTTAAAGGCCCGGACACACCAAGCCGATTTTGGCCGACGATGAGCGTCGACACGCCCTACTCAGATTGGTGTGTCCCACACCGTCGTGTCTTTTCAGCCGTGCCGACACCTTTTCGGCCGAAAACCCGCCGATTCAACATGTCGAATCGGTGGGCAGTCGGCCAAAGGCTGTCGGCAAAAGAAATCACTCCGATTGGCTGTTCAGCTTAGCGAATCAGTGCATGAGAAGCGAAACGGAAGTGAGGGACCCAAACAAATTATTAAGAAGGCAAATCTGAGGTTTCATTTAACTCCAGCTCTCGACACAGGTTTGGGAAAGCCCCATGAGCTCCTCGCTGTAGAGTGAAAATGGAACGCACACGCTATTTGTTGTTTGTTTATATCACGCAGTCTGTTCTTCTTCTCTCGGTTATCACGCAGTCTGTCTTCCGGTTGCCTCTTTTGAATGACGAATACACACTGCCGCCGCCTGCTGGTAAGGAGAGTTATTGCCACTCACGCATGCGCAGTTCGTACGTGCTACTTGGCCGTCGGCTGAAGTCTTTGCCGTGTGTTCCAGTGCGACACATGGCCAAGACGCAGGAGACGTGAGGCGACACAACAGTCGGGGGTCCGTCTGTGTCAGTTCTTTGGTGTCGGCTTGGTGTGTCCGGGCCTTAACAGCTTATTTAGGTACATTTAGTCTTTGTGGGCCAGGTTTGGACTATTTTAAACTCATTCAGTTTTCTGACAATATAAAAAAAAAATAGAACAACGATATAGTGAATTTGGCAGATAGCAGGAGGTGTAACAGGCTGTCTCTTCAGTGTTTGCAAAGACCAGTCACAGGGCAACTACAGCCATTTCTTCTTCTTCTTCTTTAAATACACAAACAAACTATATGTCCATATTAACCAAGAATGCAGCACAGCTGTCCTCATTAACCTCCTGTCTGTCCACTTCAGTTAAAGAAGAGATTTCGCTTTTTCATTTTGTCCATGTTCGACCAATTAACATAGAAAAACTGATGTTGACGCAAATAATTTTAACACTCAAAACAGTCGTTACGGGTAGCACAAAAACCCCTTGCTGTGTTAATAACCTCAGATGATCATGAGGTCCTTTGAATGCACCCCCTTCAACCCTTTAGATAATCCTTCCAGTGTTTGTGTTTTCGTGGCCAAAATAGCAGCCAGCAGGCACTTAAGATGTACTGGTTCATTAAATGAAATAATCAATGGTTGTTAAGCGCTGAATGTCCCACTGTAACCTCCTTCAATAGATCATCTGTGTTGTATTGATTATCTGATTGTAGAGGTGTCGGCAGCGTGTTGCTTTAAATGACATTTAAATGATTAAGAGGACAGACCGATGAATAACACATGCTGGTGTGTGTTTGTATGTGTGTGTGTGCAGGTTTGAGAGCGCGGTGCACATCAGTAAGCTGCAGGACCTGGTGAACCGCAGTAAGCTGGCCCGCTGCAGAGGGAGGTTCGTCTGTCCGGTCATCCTCTACAACGGCAAGGTACTGCTGTCCTCACTCAGTGTTCCTGCTGCCGATTACTATAATAATTATATAGTGTATGAGGGCTGCACAATTAACTGAAATTGAATAGAAATTGCAATATGGGTATTAGTAGGGTATGTAGTAGTCAAATCGCGGAAGGATTTTAGAATTATATTTAAAATAATGATGCAAAAATGATCAACCCCTGTATATCGTTAATCATATTGCAATTATAAGTTCAATGTAAAAGAAAAACATTACGTGTGTGACAATTTTTCACTTTTATTTTTTCAGCTGCAACCCAAGTGTGTGATGGCCTTAGGAGCCATCAAAAGATCAAATAAAAACATATTTAAAGTGTTAAACTGGCGTGTTTTCATATCTTATAATCCCCTACAGTGTACATTAAAGCCTGTGAGAATGTTAGCGCATGGCTCAAGAATCCGACACAGATAAATGAATATATGATGATATAATAAGTGCAACACTGAAATATGAATAGAAACCTATTTACTGTTTTTAATTATGTTCTTTTGATTTGCCTAACTAAGAAAAAACTTCCAGTGTCCTTGCTTCTCATGTTGAAATGAGCAGATTTTCCCTTCCTCTTTTCTGTATGATTAGGCGACACGATGTGAATTATTGTAACAACATGCTAGTATGAGTCATACAGTCAGTAAATATAGTTCTTTCTGCAGCATATCTGCCGGTCGTCCACTCTGGCAGGATGGGGGGAGCTGTATGGACGCACAGGCTACAACTACATCTTCTCAGGTACACACACACATGCATGCACATGTTTAAATTAAGATTAGCCTAAGCAGAGGAAGTTGTAATACATATTTTCCATGGGGGAGGTTGCAGTTCCTCTTGTGCTTTCTGAAGCTGCAGCTGCTGTCAAACCCATAAAGAACACGCATAAAGAATTGTGTCTTTCAGCCACATACTGTAGTATTAAATATAATATATAATGACAACAGAAATAAACCAAACATTGACTTTGAAAGATTGTCTCTCTCTTCCCGCCTCTGACATTCAGAAATGTAAAACGCCATAGTATGTCCATTTGTGGTTAAGGAGCTAAAATACGGTTATTTTAAAGTATCACTTCTTATTTGTTTTTACTTTTTGGCCATAATTTCCATCTTTTTCAAAAACAGTATTCTGGGAATGCTTTGATATCAGACACAGAGGGGGTCAGACAATCAGACACTTGAAAACTGGAAAAATAAACTTAATACCATACCCCACATTTCTGTCAAAATTGTGCTAACAGACCAGGGTTTCACTTTGGACCTGTAATACAAAGTAAGTAAGGGATATTACTGACTTTTCAGGTGCATTCACTTTCAGTTTGACCTCGAGTAACTCGGTTTAGATCAACTAAACATCACAAAACAGTAAAAAGGCCAGTCAAGATATCCTAAAAAACATGGAAACATCATTAAATGTTTGGTTTAACCAACAGTCCAACAACCAAAACATTCAAGTCACTCGTATGTAATGCCAAAAAAAGCAAAACAATCTTAGATTTAAGAACAGGAACCATCAGATGACTAACATCCTGAGTCAGCTGTCGGGTCTTCTCACCGAACGGTTAGCTGAGTTTGAAACTGCTGGTGTTTCTGAGGGACTTGTTACAATGTGGTAAGTCCTCAGCAGTTACTCCGATGATCAGTAGATAGGTATGGAAAAAGCAACGGAAATAGGATTCATTAGTTAGCACAGAGCAGTGAGCATCCACTTATTTTAGTCGTTGCTATTTTCAAAAGGCTTTAAACTCTCATCATATCTGGGGTTAATCCAGATAATAGACCTGTTGAATGTCAGAAGTCCAGCTCCTTGTCTTTAGGTGAACAGACCATCTGGATTTCCTTTCTGTAATACTTCGGACATGGCCATTTTGGCTAATCAAGTTGAAAGAGGAAGATTGCAGACCTAGTTTCTCTCTGGGCTTGTATATTACTTTCCTTCATTTGGCAGATGCATTTGTCTAAACACTCACCATAAGTGCATTCAAGTTTCATAAGAACAATAGCTCAATGTCAGAAGTGCATCCTTCGCTTACAAAAGCCCTTAAAGCCTGCGTCACACTGTCCCGAAATTGACACCTGATGGACACACGAATATGGAATTGTGAATTTCGCATGAAGATGGCCCCAAACCACACAGGCAACATTTACATTACATTTAAGACATACAACTGCAACGAAAGTAACAAAAACAATTATGTTAAAGTACTATGATACTGTACTGATATTTTCAGACTTTGTTCTTTACTTTATCCGTCTTTATATGTAGAAGATATTACGTTTTCTCCATAATGTTGTTTCCATAGCAACAACAACTTCCTGTCAACTCGCCTTCAAAATAATATATTATATCCTTTTCAGTTTCACAGAACACAAATTGGGTTATTTACATAATATGTTTACATGATTTTGTTGTGCAATAAAACAACCAGATGGACACACGATAAAGGAAATGTTCAAATTCGGCTCTGATCGTAGCAACATCGGGCCGTTCGTGAGGGCATCTTAAGCCATCGTATGACCGCCGGTGGAGTTTCTCAGGCTCCGACAGCAACTTCGCGAGCGGTGGCAAAATCTTTGGCATGCCAAAAAATTGCCGAAGGACCTTGCGAAGGTTCATTTTCGTGTTGAATTCGTGTGTCAATTTTGCCCTTTGTAAGGCCATCGTGAGGGCATCTTGTTATCATCGGTGCCATCGGGCATTCGCCCCGATCAGAGTGAGGGCGAATGCCCGATGGCACCGATGATAACACGAAGATGACACGATTTGACTAGATGCCCTCACGAGTGCCTTACGAAGTTGCCGCTCACGAAGTTGCTGCCGGAGCCTGAGAAACTCCACCGGCGGTCATACGATAGCTTAAGATGCCCTCACGAATGGCCCGATGTTGCTACGATCAGAGCCGAATTTGAACATTTCCTTTATCGTGTGTCCATCGGGTGTCAATTTCGGGACAGTGCGACGCAGGCTTAAGAGTGTGCAGAGTGAGTCAGTGAAACCAGAACACACAGCCCTGGTGGACGAGGATCAGTTATGCACATCTACTGAAGAGGATTACTATATTCTAAGTGATCAAAACATATATTTGATGTAAGAGCCTCTGCCTGTTTTCAGCACATTAGGTCCCCCATTACCTACCTTTTTGAAGTTGCCTAGCACAGCTGTGATTGGTATTATGTTTAAAGACTGAACTTGTTTTGACCCTAAAACAACCAAGACAGAACATAAATTCATTAGGGCTGCACAACTGATCAAAATGTTGCAATATGGACGACTGCAATATTCAAATCGCAGGAGGTGCAATATTTGTTACAGGCAAAATACTGTTAGTGTAAATACAATTCAGAATCAAGGATTGTGGCGCTGTATGTCCCGGCCTCAAATCCTGTTCTATGGACCTCAAATATCTTTGTTTGGTACAGATATTTAGAAAATCCAACCGTGATCCAAGTTATATAGATATATATATTAAATACAATGAGGATATTGATGCAAAAACAACCAACGCCTCAAATATCATGAATATATTTGCAATTGCTGTCATTCAAAATAATCGCAATTGGTTATTTTTTTCAAATCGTGCAGCCCTAACAATAATTGTAAGTTTGAGTGATTTACAGTTTGTGTCATTGGCTTGACTTTGAGGGACCTCCTGTATGCTTCTGTTCTTCAGGGGGCACTGATGACACGTGGACAGAGTCTGAGGAGGTCCCAGAGGATGACAGTGCAGTCAGGTAATCACATGACTTCATTGAACTTCAGACAGTGGTCTCTCTGGGAGCGAATCACTGACAACAAAAACCAGCCCGATGAATGCTGCCTGAAAGACTTCTCATCAAAGTAAGACATCTACCCAGAGAAAATCAGTTTTCTAATGAATCTTTCTCTCCTCGTATATTTCCCTCCTCCTCAGGAACGGGGACTCGCAGCTCTTTGACAAAGTCCGAGGCCACGACATTAAGCTGCTACGCTACCTCTCAGTCCGCTACATCTGTGATCTGATGGTGGAGAACAAGAAGGTCAAGTTTGGCCTAAAGTAAGGAACACCACTGGCTACTCTCTCTGGCTGTTCTCTAGGTCCCTGCTTCCTCTGCATGTTGTAGAAAGACACTTCATTACAGACTCAGTCCCTCTGTGTTGGCTCGATGTTTCTGCACATTTAGCTTTAAATTCACAAAAGATGGAAGGAATGGCGAGAAACAATAGAGAGGCGAAGTCCCGCCCATCTACTTCCGACCAATGGGACCTTATTTCGGAAAAGTTATGTATTGAAGTCAATGGAGAGAGAAAACGTATCTTTCGATCCCGTTTGAATTGTGCCACGAATTACACATATGATGTTTGTCAATCTTAAATAATCATTTCCATGTAAAAAAAGTCACATTTTGTCGTAAAACTGTTGAAATATAAGACTATGAAAAATACGCAACTAGAAAGACTACAAATCCCAGAATCCTGGTCCCGCATGCTGGCTCTTATGAACCGACTAACTCCCCTTGTGTGTATGTACAGCTCTCAACATGCCCAGACTTGTAGTGATTTTCACCTCGTTTAATACTTTTCGCCTCATTCTGAAAGAAAGAAGTGAAATGTGCCAACGTGACGTCCGTCTTGGTGTGTGGTGCGAGACGGGAGATGTAGTTCATTGAGCGGTTTCACACAAAAAAAAGTGTTACTTCACAGTTTTACGACACATTTTTATTTTTTTGACTTGCAAAATTATCTTTTAAATTGACAAACATCATATGTGTAATTCGTGGCACAATTCAAACGGGATCAAAAGATAATCTTTCTCTCTCCATTGACTTCAATACATAATTTTTCCGAAATAAGGTCCCATGGAGCCCCCCTGGAAAGGGAGGGACTTCGCCTCTCTATATGAACATTTGACTGACCTGAAGTCCATTAAAAACCTCAGGAATCATCAAGATACAAAGATGGATGCTCCCAAGCCATCAAACCAAGCAGAACTGCGTGCATCTTCCTCCAGGAGCAGAATAGTCTAGCCAAGTTGCACACATGAAAGATCAGATTGTAGATCAGGTTAACCCACTAAATATTGATTTATAAACTCTTCCTTAGTTATAACAATAATATTGTGATTTTTTTTGTTTGCATTATTATTATTCAAGGTCTGAAACCAGTGGATATATTTTGGTTAGTTGACCAGTTTTCATTTTCTAAATGCCAATATTATTATTTGGAAATTTGCTGAAAAATTGTCGGTAGTTAAGAGAACAACACAAAAATATAAAATGTACTCGTATAAAGAGATAATTTTGCAGTTGTCTCTTAGTTTTTCCCGACCAAAACGTGTATATATATGAATGACTATTTCAAGAAAACACTAACATTAAGGCTGGAACCTTAGCTCAGTGCATATGGGTTAAAATACGTATAGATTCTGCTGTAGCTTAGTAGTAGGAGTGTACAAGCAAATAATATTGCAAAATAGACTAGTCCAATGTTCAAATCGCAGTAGGCACAATACTTGTTAAAGGCTAAATATGTATTTAAATACCATTTTTAAATGAAGTATTGAGGAGCTGCATAGATATCCAGACGTACTTAACAAAACAGATTTGTTTTGCACAGATCCTCATTAAAAAAATCACACCATGATCATTTAATGTATTTTTCAATGATGAATGAGAATATTGATGCAAAAATGGTCATGCCCTCCTATATCGTTATCATAATATTGGTCAAAATAAACGCAATTGGTTAATTTTTCCAAATCATGCAGACCGAATGATAAGCCATTTTGGCCTAACAAAGGTATTATATGGAAGTGTTGTCTCTTAATATACTGCAGTGCCCATGGATGCTCACCTTGTTTCTCCCCTGCAGTGTGACGTCCTCTGAGAAGGCGGACAAGGCCCAACGCTATGCAGACTTCACCTTGCTCTCTGTGCCTTACCCAGGTAAACTACCTGTCACTTCGTTCACTCACTTCACTAGAGCAATACATTGTCCAGTCAAATACTGTTTATCAGCAGATATTAGTTTAATGCAGAGACAAAGAACTTACAGTAGCTGTGTGCCAAGTAATAAGACTACTAGAAGGCCTCTATAATAAGAAAAGAAAACTGTAATACAAATCCTGCACATTTCCACCCATACAAGAAAGGAGAAGAAATGACGCAAACTGTCAACATTGCCTCATGATCATATGATTTTAAAGAATCCAAAGCCATTGTTAAAATGACTGTCAAATGCTTTCTTTAGGAAACCAATCATATCTGACTCAACACAATTTTGAAAGACATGGAACAGGATTCATTAGAACAGTTTTGTGTGCAAAAAGTCTTCTTGCAGACTTGACAGAAAGAATAGTAGTTGCCTTCAGCTATACCTCAAAGTTACAAAGTAGACTGTTTATCATTTGGATTTTAAAGAACAGGGCCACATTCTGTAGCCTCAGTTTAACTCCTGACCAAGTGTGCTGAATGCGTTTCTTTTTTAGGGTGTGAGTTTTTTAAGGACTACAAAGACAGAGACTACACAGCGGAGGGTCTGGTGTTCAACTGGAATCAGGTACAGAGAGTAGAGAGTGTGTTCTCTGACTGTACTGTAGCTCGGCTCTGATTTATTCACCTGATGACTCTGTGTCTCCACTCTCAGGACTATGTGGACGCTCCTTTGACAATCCCACTGGGCTTTACTCAGAACTTGAACATCGACTGGACTCGATACCAGGTTACTCTTCTTCTAATGTGTTCACTCTGTTGCAGCCACTCTACCAGCTGTGACTCACTTCTTTACTCTTATATTTGTGGTGTGTGAGTGCCATCTGTTGTCCATCCTGTAAAGTGCTTTAGTCATGCTTCACATCCAGTAAAAAACCTCACTGACTCAAACACACATTGTTCAAACCCACACAACTTGAAGTCAGCACCCCAAAAAATATCATATGTAAGGCTGAACTTTGGGGAAGTGTATAAAACGATAGACGACCACAAATAACCGTTGGACTTGTGTTCGGATAAGGGCTGTCAAGCAATTGAAAGCTTTGTGATTAATGAATCTAAATCATGCTGGCGGTGTTATTCAACACTAGGCAACATCAGTATAATAATCCATTCACAAAGCATAAAATAATATTTAAACATGCTTTTAATTTGAATAATTAATTTGATTATAATAATAATCAAAGTTAACAGGATGATTGGACAGCTCTAGTTTTAATTAGGGGTAAAACAAGCTGACAGAATATAACAGCAATTTTTCTTCTTATGTCAAAGATATTCACTTGTTTTTAATTTCTTATTGTTATTTTTTCATTCTATATTATATAACATTATATAATTAATTTACAAGATTCTTCCATTAAATGTAGGGTAGGTAAGTTGGAGAAACCGGCTCGAGTGCGCTATAATTTGAAAATACACAACCGGAGAAAATCTGCCACTTCCTTATAGAGCCCCTCCTCCAACACACACGAACGCGCACATGACCAATGAGGGCATGAGATAAGCTTGTGCACAGATGGAAGGCTGACAGGCAGGTAGGCCATCCAGTTATTTTAGCCGGGCCGGCTAAAATGATTGGTCGTGCTTTTTACAGTACTACGGCTTCCACAGATGACATTTTTTTATGGATTTTTTGTCAAAGCACTTAAAATATTCATTGCTATCGGGATGTTAAGAGCATTCCATGGAATACAACAAAAAGTGTATCTCGAGCCGGTTTCTCAAACTTACCTACCCTACCTTTAAGAGTTTATCTTCATTTTATCACATGTATTGTCTTTTGTTTGCTTGTGCTTCTCTCAGTCGTGGGACCTGGTGGAGCAGACCCAGAACTACCTGAAGATGCTGCTCCACATCATCAACAGTGATGGTGGGTGCTGTTTCTGATGTAGCATTAGCTTTAGGATTGTAACTGTCATGGGATAAAAATGAGAGCATTTGAACTAATGCATGATTTCATTATTGTTTTCTTCTATAGATTATTAGTTAAGACAATGAATAATAAAAGCCACATTTTACGCGAGCAGAAACTAAAGTAAGGCCTTCAAATCCTTTTAACAACCTTATTTAAGTCATTCTATGATAATAAACTAAATGTCAGTAGTGTCTGGTATGTTGCTCTGAAATAAGAATCCATTTGAAAATGTAGCCTAGGGTTCTGCTAAACTGTAATGGGTTTTTTAACAACAAAATGTTTAGTCCATCAGTCGAGAAAATAATCATTAGTTGCAGCCACATCATTGGAAGTGTATGGTTATGTTTCCTTTAATGCAGCTCTTTTAAATGTTTGGGGATTGCTTTGGCCGAGAGCTAATACCTTAAGAAGATGGACGCATTCTAGAATAAACTAGAAAATGCATTTCCTGCTGAAAATGCGTGCGAATGCTGTAAACCGTGTACATTTGTTGCTGAATTTAGCTGAAAATGCAGAAAAAGCTGAATATTTGATTAGCTGGATGGTTTCTGTAGCTGCTTTTAGCTACAGAGACCAAGTAAGTGTGTTGCTGAATTTAGCGGAGAAATGCAGAAAAGTGAAATGATTTTAATCCAAATTGTTAGAGCTCAAATGCATTGCAATGACTTTGTTGAAAACTTGAAAGTGAAATGTGAAACTGGAAGAGTAGGAAAAATAGTGAAGAAGCTTAATATTTAAAAGAAAAGGTTTAAAAAAAAGTATAAACAACATGTATAGCCTCAATGTCCTGAAATAGCTGAATAAGTTAATTGGAGTTACATATTAAATGTAATTAGTAGTGAATGAATGTGTATTAAGAAGAGAAAAGAAAGTAAAAACGCTTTGAAAAGCATCAGAATATTTTAACTGCAAACTTTTGAACTAAAACCATACGTCACAATAATGTATAAAATATGTGGAACGTGTTGAAGTCAGTATGAAGTCTCCATCAGACAGAAAATAATATGCTGAGTCTCAGCTGAGACAGTCTTTAAACTCCAGTTTGTTCGTTTGTGTTTGAGGTTACCATGGTGACGACGTTATCAAACACATGTGTACGTGAGCCCAGAGATCAAAGATTTCCATGGAGATGTGCTGTGAAAGGAGAGCCTTTCCATTGTTCTGAATGAGAAATAAACCTCTTACATTTCTAACTATAGTTTAAAAACGGTAGCTGCTTTCGGTAAAATGTCAACGCCTGAAGCATGTCAAGGACCCCGAGCATCTGAAGTGTGCTTTTTGTGTACTTTCGGGTCAATAATGTGGCATCTTTGACAGATTTACTATAGGTGTGCAGCTGGTGCTGTGAGGAAAGATCAGGCTGAATTTACAATGGGCCTTAATGGAGACATGTTGAACGTTTTTGTCACTTCATGCCCTCAAGAGGCTTTTTGTTTAATTTTTCAACGTAGGAGAGGTTTTCCTACGTTTTTCATGAAAAATGATGTCCAAGGAGTGTAGGGTTTGGGAGTTATGGCAGGTTTAAAAAATGTTTTTCAAGCTCTCCTCCACTCTGTTTTGAGATCAAAGCACTCTAGACTTAACGAGCTGCGCAATACACACTAATGTTAAAATCTGAAGAAGGCCTCTTTACCAAGATCCAAACTAATATTTCCAAAAGTTTAAATGTCATAATCAAGAAAAGTCATAGCACACATGTCCTGAAGGAGCTGAACATTCTAATATTTCAATGGTTTCTGTAGCTGAAAGTATGTGGAAGGAGTAGCATTTGGCGCACGGTGTAGGTAAAAGAGGATTTGAAGGATCCTCCCATTGAGTTACATGTTAAAAAAAGAGTTTAAAAAGCTGAATATTTCGAAAAGTATAAAATATTTTGAAAAAGTTTAGAGTTTCCCATCATGTGCTGAAAAGGCTGAATATTTTGATATTTCAATGGTTTCTGTAGCTGAAAGTAGGCTGAAGTTATTTGACGGCAAAATATTGGTTGAAATAATAATAAGAAGAAGATGATTAAAGAAACAGAAGAACTATACTGTGCAACAGCATTCGCACTAATGACTGTCTGATGTCTAACATCAGTCTTTCAATAAGTCTTAAAAAGGCTTTGGACTTAGGAAGGAGGATTTTATGAAACTTTCTTTAGTAATATTGTAATATAAAATCTCAAAATAGTTGATAACATGTATTTTCTGAAAATAATTAACCAAATGCGCCTTCCTCTAACGCCACGCAGATCTGCATAGCAGGAAAACAGCTTGTGGAATTGTTCTTGGTTCAATTTTCACAGTGGCATCAAAAAGTATTTAAAAAGAGGCCCTATTCTGCTTTTTGGGGTTTTCCCTCCTCTAGTGTGTTCTATAGGTTTTTGTGCATGTAAATGGTCTGTAAAGGCTAAAGACCTTGTGTTTCTCTCCCACACTCTTCCCCCAACCTAGGAATGATGAATAAATGAACTGATAAATCAGTGCAAATGATACATATATAATACTATAACCCATGAAAATGTAACAGTAAGTCTGTTTTTAAAGTATCTTTATTAAATGAGGATAGTAACATGCAAACATAATGAATGTTATGAAAACCAACCATGAACTGCATAAAGAGTGAGGAAAGAAGCAACACTAATAAGAACCAAAACGTAACAATTGCACTCACACAGAGCAGTCCTATAATGTCCATGTCCACTCCACTTTAGTGTCTATTGTAAAGCTTCATGATGATGCCGCTGTGTGTTTCAGATGAGAGCGGCCTCCTGGTGCACTGCATATCAGGCTGGGACCGGACGCCTCTGTTTGTGTCCCTGCTCAGGCTCTCCCTGTGGGCAGTAAGTCCTCCTTCTGTCCTCCTTCTGTCTTTTCATCTCTTCATTCTCCCCCGGTGTCACCCAGCAGCTCCAACAGTCAGTGACAGAACCCCCCCCCTCTCAGCACCCCTCCTCATTCACTCCTCTTCACATACAACTAGTTTAACATTTCAAACATGCGCTTTAATTAGCCTCCTCTGTATTCATCTTTATTAAAAATAGAACCCTTATGTCATAAATATTTAATGCCTTTCTGGAGAAGGGTCCGTACTTGGATCTTCTGATGAAACCGCAGACCACATACGGAGTCCTTTTCACACAGAATAATAACTGCAGTTTGCTTGTCGGAGCTGCATGTGCATGATTGGCTCCTGGGGTTTAATTTAACACAAGATGTTTGAGACTTTGACTCATTGTCGTGATGTTATTTCCGCAGGACGGCGCGGTGCACGCCAGCCTGCAGCCGGCAGAGATCCTGTATCTGACCATCGCTTACGACTGGTTCCTCTTCGGGTAAAATAATAATTTACAATAACACTATCATAATTTCATGAGTTCATGGTGAGCCATAAGTCGGCACATTAGCCGCTATAAATACTTTAGAGGTGCATTTGCAACTATCTGTGACGTCCGTTTATTTTCTGTAACGCATCATTGAAAAGAGGTTAATGGAGCAGTGAGAGAGGGAGGGGGGGACAACATGTGACATTAAGACGACTCTGGCAACCACCCTCTCTTGGGCTTCTCCTTTCATAATTAATGGTGTGATATGACCAATTAGAGCTCATCGTAGGCATTCTTGTAGAAAGCCCTCTCTGCCATCTCGACCATGCAGTGATACATCCGAGGCTGGCCCCTGGAGACATTTGTACAGCAGAAGGTGTGTAAGAGAGCTGAAGTGAGTGCTCTTCTTCTCATCAGTCACAACTGAATCATATTTGAAAGCCAGGTGTAGTCCAATAATTGTGTTGCCCATAAATACGTTCTGTGGCACCAAATATCTGTAATCACTGTAACAAAATCACTCTCAAGAGAGTCTAGCAGATTCTGCGCGGGCACTTTCTGAACAATTCATTTGATCAGCAGTGTTACGGCCACAAGAAAAAAAAACAAGATTTGTAAACAAGTCCAAAATATAGGGAAAAGTAACTTAAATAAAAACCAACTGAGTTGTGATAGTCAGGACAGCAAAGAGAGATGGCTTCCTTCCACTCAGTTCCTTTAAATATGGGAAATGAGGGCAGTGCCTCACCAAAAGGAGCGGAGAGGAGACAGAACACAAGAAAGAGGAAGCGCGTACCAAGTAGTCTTATGATAAAGAGGAACAAATTAATCTTGTTTCTAGAATTCCCTTAAGCACACCCAGTGATCTCCTTGACTAATGCCTTGAGTGGCTGAAACAAAGGGTTAGTTCTCCTCTCCTTTCTTTCAGAGAGTTTTGATTTACATGCTGACGTTTAAAGATACCAACTTCTGAAACCTGCTTTGCCGCCCCAATATTCTACCAATACTCTGAAAAATTATATTAGAAAAAAGTGTTCCATTTAACAAGGGCACGTCACTCTGGGTACCACAGAGGAGTCAAACTTACTGGAACCATTCCTTTAGTAGAAATGAGTCTTGAATCCTCATAGGAGCTCACTTCTCTACTATTACAGGTTTCATTTCAAAGATTCATTCATGTTGAAACTTTATGCATGCATCTTCACCTGCACAACATGGGGTGGTGTTTTTGACCTGGATAAGATGCAGCTGGAATATAACATTTTCCTCTCTCTATTTCCAGTCATATGCTGCCAGATCGACTCTCCAAAGGGGAGGAGGTACGTTTATCCAAATGATGTTTTTTTATTTTCTCTTATAAAGCTTGTATTTACAGAAAGAATACTGGCAGAAACACAGAGATATTAGTACCACAACTTTCAAAAGTATTCTTTGCATGTTAACAAACAGTTGTCATCAGTCAGTTTTTGAAGACAGGAAGTTATGATAGAGATATTATGACATTAGCATATGATAGCACAAATGAAATGGATAGGCAAACACAATGTGATCCCTTGGTTTGAAATTCCAAATAAGTGTCTCGGAACAGTGTTCATATAGAGTTCATTTTTTCTTGTCAAACACTGTAATTAGCGGTTAAAGGAAACCCAGTTAAGCGAGTGAGCTAACTCTACAGGAAGTTACAGTTTTAAGGATGAAGTTGTGTCATCTCTTCAGAGGGCAGCCAGAAAAAGGGTTGCCTCTTGAAAGAAAGGCTGGAGGCAGTAGATGCTAAAAATGCTCTCATAGCAGAGCTGTTTTTCCTTTGTATTTTCACCAAGAGTCACATTTCACAATTATTGTGGCTGAAAATAGTTTCCATTGTATATGACCTGCACAAACCGCTTCAGAAGAAAATAAGGAATTATTGTGAACTACTGTTATTGTTTCTGTGGTTTTACTATTTATAGCTATGTGTTTGATTTAAATTAGCATTTGTTTTTGTTTTTTTAAATACTGAAAACATTCTAAATACATTTTAGATTCAAATATTCTCATTAAAATAATTGAGTCAACAATATTTTCTGCAGAGCCCAACAGACCAATGATTGGCTGACTTATCTCATGGCCTGGCATACATGTCAGTCTAGAAGTAACACGATATTTCACTACAGAAGTCTAAGATATGACACCATCCACAGTTCGCCCACCACAGAGCCCTAGCTGATTTATTTTACACGTTAGATGTCCTGTTGTAAAATGTGTGTTTGCAATTCTTTAAAAAAAAAATATCTATATATATATAGGAGATCCATAACATAACCATATAGTGATGTGTTTATGTCAAATAAAAAAATCAATATATCATATTCTTCAGTACTATCCCCTAATGTTGGTCTAAAGAGTCTAGTATTAGACCAGAGGTTATTCAACAACAATTACCATAACAAACAATAGCATTATAATTATGTGCAATTATTGTAAGAGAAAAGACAGGGTTTCTTTTTTAATAGTAATTTTATATCAATAGCCCATAATCACTGAGGGAGAAATCTATCAGTGGAAGAAATGTCAACATCTTAACCAAGAGTCATCTCCGTAGAACAATGACTAAAACTAGTCCGCTTGTTGGTATAGGTACAAGTATCACGCTTTTGCTAATTGTGGGAACTTCTCTCTTTAGGGATTCCCTTCTGATTCCCTTCTGATCTAACATGTTTTTTCTCCATCAGATTTTCTTCTTTTGCTTCAATTTTTTGAAGCACATTGTCTCAGAGAAGTTCTCAGCTGTTAAGAAACAGAGGTGGGTTCATTACTCTTCATGTGTGTGAGGTTCATTCTAATGAAGCTATAGTTATCTGTTGTGAAACTCAGTGAAGATCCAGTTTCTGTAGACACACATCATCCGTTTGATTCCACTCTAGTGTTATATCTCTACTTTTGATCTCTAATATTATTTGATCCTTTTTTCTGACAGAAGGAAGAACTCCCACTTCAAAGACAGTGATTTCACTGTGGAAGATCTCGGCCAGTTAAGTAAGTCAGTGTGTCTCCGCCATTCCTCTCAGCCGCCATTCAACAAATGATATTGTATTTTAATAATGTTTAAATGGAGTAGTGTGTCTTTCTTTGTTTGGTCAACTAGGTGCTCAGGTAGCAGTATAACAGAGAGCTTTCCTTTCCAGCTCCATACATTTGTCCTTATAAGTTACAAACGGGAGGAAAACTGTTAAATTCGTCATTATGTTTTATCTCCAATCCGAATGATAGCATCTCATTATTTTTTGTTGAGAAACTTCAGGCAGCATTAGGAGCTCCTGCCACCTTCCTCCTGTCTGATGCAATGAGGAATAACAGAGGGCTGCGAGCAGAGCGTGTCGGCCGGAGACAGCAATGAGTCTCTGGGGATAACACAGCCTTCGTCTATTTACAAAACCACAGGCTTAATTCCAAAACGTCTTGCGTCACAAACCTTTATTTCCTAAGACTTTTAACCTGCAAAGGAGTCTTGTATTTGCATCAGTATCCAGCTTTATGTCACAACAAGAAGTGGCTTTAGATTTATATTGTAAACCACTTCTGGTGGAACTGGTTCCTCTCTGTTCTGCATTTCGTTTCATTCGGCATTTCTGACCTTATTTAGAAAGAAAATATAGACTCCACTAAAGTAGTTCCTGTTCAAAAAGCATTGATTCATATATACAGAATAAACTATAGACCCTATGAAATATCTAGAAGTGTTGCATCGTGGGTAGTCAAGTCATCTTAACTTGGTTCATGTTTTTTTTCTAGATAAAGTATAGAATTGACAAACAGTCTCTCCAAAGTCCTTATTTATTTAAAGGTCCCATGTCATGCTTTTCCGGTTATTACCCGTCCCCTTGTGTGTTATGAAGGTTGCTGGTGCTAGTGGAGCCTCGCAGATGGGGGTGCTGCAGCCCCCTCAGCATCCCCCCCTTCCCGCGTCCATTCGCGATGTCTCGCTGTCTCGCAGATCCCACGCAGCAAGCAGGAAATGTCCGCTCCTCGCAGCAGCGAGCCGCGCAACGTCCCGCCAACACGGCACCCAGACCCCACGCAGCATTCTCATCTGTTTGTCATTACTGCTCTCATTTTCTGGTTGCTAACTAATGCCATTGTAACACATAAACACTGATGTTCCGCTGTAACGGTGGTGGACTCATCAGAGCACAGTGGGCTCACAGGGAGGGGGGGGGGCAGGAGCTCCAACAAGGCGTTTAGGACAGAGTGAATACACATACTATACAGAGATGCTGTATGAGAAACCAATGTGAGTTTGGAAAATGTCACAATATAAATCTATTCTAGTAGACCTCAACTATGGAATTATGATCAGTAGAAATGGCCATGACGTGGGACGTTTAATCTCTGATGTCTACAATGCAACTGTGATGCTGGTTTTCTTACTGTCCGATCTAAAGGCGACCCCCCCCGAGTTCCTCCTGTCAAGCCATTTACCTGGAAAGAAACAGGGTCAGGTTAAAGGCTGAAAGCAGAAATAGGAATCAAACCTTGTGGCATATCTTCATCTAAACATCTGAAGCAAGCCACACACTGTGAGAAAGGCTCTCAAGATTCAAGGCTTTTATTGTCATTTGTACATAGCTACAGTGTAGTTATGACAATGAAAATCTTAGGTCACAGGCTTATCCAACAGTGCAACACAATAACAGATAATAGTGCAGGTAAATAAAATAAAATATAATATAATAGAAATAGTGCAGAATAGTCTATATACAAGTAATTGGAATATTGATATATATAAGTTGCAAACAACTTAATGTTGTGGATGTTCTTTCAAAAGTTCAGGTGTTTAATAGTCTTCTGGCCTGTGGGATGAAACTGTCCCTGAATCTGGTGGTTTTAGTCCTGATGCTGCGGTACCGCCTGCCAGACGGCAGCAGACAGAACAGTTTGTGGCTGGGGTGATGGGGGTCTTTTATAATCCTGAGGGCTTTCTTCCTGAGCGGATGGCAGCTCCGTCCTGGTGATGTTCTGTGCAGTTTTCACCCCCCTCTGTAAAGTCTTACAATTAAGGGCGGTGCAGCTGCCGTACCAGGCCGTGATGCAGCCAGTCAGGATACTCTCTATGGTGCACCTGTAGAAGGTCAGGATCCTCTCTATGGTGCACCTGTAGAAGGTCAGGATCCTCTCTATGGTGCACCTGTAGAAGGTCAGGATCCTCTCTATGGTGCACCTGTAGAAGGTCAGGATCCTCTCTATGGTGCACCTGTAGAAGGTCAGGATCCTCTCTATGGTGCACCTGTAGCTATGGTGCACCTGTAGAAGGTCAGGATGCTCTCTATGGTGCACCTGTAGAAGGTCAGGATCCTCTCTGTGGTGCACCTGTAGAAGGTCAGGATCCTCTCTATGGTGCACCTGTAGAAGGTCAGGATGCTCTCTATGGTGCACCTGTAGAAGGTCAGGATGCTCTCTATGGTGCACCTGTAGAAGGTCAGGATCCTCTCTGTGGTGCACCTGTAGAAGGTCAGGATCCTCTCTATGGTGCACCTGTAGAAGGTCAGGATCCTCTCTATGGTGCACCTGTAGAAGTTGCAGAGTATCCTGGAGTCCATATTGAACCTCCTCAGCCTGCGGAGGAAAAAGAGCCGCTGTTGAGCTTTCTTGGTGATGGTGTTGGTGTGAAGAGTCCATGTCAGGTCCTCAGTGATGTGGACACCGAGGAACCTGAAGCTGCTGACTCTCTCACCGTAGTCCCGTTGATGGCGATGGGGGCGTGTCCCTCTCTCTGCTGCTTCCTGTAATCCACAATCAGCTCCTTTGTTTTGCTGATGTTGAGATGGAGGTTGTTATCCTGGCACCAAGATATCAGGGTGCTGACCTCCTCTCTGTACGCCGTCTCGTCACCGTCGGTGATCAGGCCGATGACAGTCGTGTCATCAGCAAACTTCACGATGGTGTTGGAGCTGTGTGTGGCCACGCAGTCGTGAGTGAACAGGGAGTAGAGGAGAGGGCTGAGCACGCAGCCTTGAGGGGCACCGGTGTTGAGGATCAGGGTGGAGGATGTGATGTTTCCCACCCGCACTGCCTGGGGTCTGCCCGTCAGGAAGTTCAGGATCCAGTCACAGAGGGCGCTGTTGAGCCCGAGCTCTCTGAGCTTGATGGCCAGCTTGGAGGGCACAATGGTGTTGAAGGCTGAACTGTAATCAATGAACAGCATTCTCACATATGTGTTCCTGTTCCTCTGGTCCAGGTGTGAGAGGGCAGTGTGGAGGGTGAGGGCTATGGCGTCGTCTGTGGACCTGTTTGCTCTGTAGGCAAACTGCAGGGGGTCCAGAGATTCAGGGAGGGAGGAGGTGATGAAGGTTTTGACTAACCGCTCAAAGCACTTCATAATGATGGAGGTGAGTGCTGCTGGGCGGTAGTCTTTAGGCTGGTGGTTTTAGTCTTTTTGGGGACAGGAACGATAGTGGAGTGTTTGAAACATGTGGGGACTACAGACTGCAGCAGGGACCTGTTGAAGATGTCTGTGAACACCTCTGCCAGCTGAACTGCACACACCCTGAGGACACGGCCAGGGATGCCATCAGGTCCAGGAGCCTTGTGTGGGTTAACCCTTTTAAAGGATTTGCACACATCTGCCCTGTTTAAAACAAAAGGGCAGGGCTCTAGCTCCTGGTCCCTCTGTACCTCCACAGCCCGGCTGCTCTCAAAGCATGCAAAAGAACTGTTCAGCTCATCTGGGAGAGATGCGCACGCAGACACTCCCGCAGCACCACCCGCTGCTCCTTTGTAATCTGTCATAGTTCTTAGTCCCGCCCACATGTTCCGGGTGTTACAGCCTTTGAAGTCAGACTCCACTTTTTCTCTGTACTGTCTCTTTGCACTGCTAATAACTCTCCGGAGTTCATACCTGGACTTCTTGTACTCCTCCAAATCTCCACCTCTGTGCGCTATAGTGCGTGCTTTTAGCTTGCCGCGCACCTCGCCGTTTATCCAGGGCTTCTGATTCGGGAATGTCTGTACAGTAATCTTCGGTACTACGTCTGCTCTAAGACTGAAGTTATAACTATGCTTACAAAATCTTTTGGATTTACGAAAGGGGTTTCTGAGGTCTGTGACAGAACCTGAATGTTCTGCTTTCCCTTCAGCTCCTGGTCTGATTAAAATGTGCACGTGTTGATTTATGAATGAACTGACTGCCCTGCTGTGTGTTTACTTCAGAGTCGAGGGACCGCGGCAGTGTGACCAGTCTGAGCAGTGACTTCTCCCTCATCACTGAGGAGGGGGGCGGAGCCTCCAGCCTCAACCCCGACACCGTGGACCTGTTCTCCAGCCAGCCCCAGGCCTCCAGCTGGTCAGTATAGGCTCACAAAATGTATTTTTTGTTTCGTTGGATCCAGGAGGATATCAAAAGTGCAGCCAAATGAGAGACACAAAAAGCCAAGGGATGATGGTCCAGCCGCTGAGTTATTAAAGTGCATTTACAGGACATACATATAAAGAGAAAGAGCAGTAGGAGAAGAGAGCTGTTAGTCCCCGACAGTCTAAGCCTAAAGCAGCTTAACTAGGAACTGGTCCAAGGCAAGCCTGAGCCAGCCCTAACTATAAGCTTTATCTGAGAGGAAGGTCGTCAGCCTGCTCTTAAATGTAAGCCCGTGTTAAGACACTGTGGTTATTCAACTGCCAGTGAGGCGATGAAATACAATCAAAGTCCAGTTTGAGCAACAGATCTGTGAGTTTAAAGGGAAAACGGCACAGCAACTTCCAACTGGGGGAAGTTATCACAGTGCCAATCACTGGCCAAGTTCCAATGTCCATACTGAAGGACTCACAGTCTTTAACAAACTCTCTGTTAGTCCAGGAATGTGCACTTTCCAACATAGTGTGTTGAATGACATCGTAGCAAAATCCGCCAGGTTCATTATTGTTTCCCCAGATGTGGTGGTCGCATTTGAGTGAAAAACAAGTTTGAACAATTTAACAGATATTTCCTTTCAGAACAGCCAAAATTAACTTTGATCTATTTAAAGCACTTTTTTATGATTTCTTCATTTGAGTTTTATCCTTTGAAATGTCATCACGAGCTGCTGCTCCACTGTGATGCTAATGTATTGTTTCCCTCCCCAGGAGAAAAGGCCCCGCCTCCTCCCCTCAGATGGTGGTTTGGAATAAACCCACCCCTCCTGACGAGCATCTCTCCCATCCTCTCAGTGAGGCCAGGTCTTCCAGCTCCTCCTCCTCCAACCAGTCAGAACACGCCATCACACGCACTGGCAGCAGCCCACTGGCTGTCCCTGGAAGAAGGTCAGTGAGTCTATACAACTCAGCCCTTTAAAGTGTGTGTGTTCAGCAATGTTGGTTGATCACCAGAGGCACAGTGTTCTACCTCGCTGCAGTTCAGCAAGCGTTCACACACAGGTGGAGGCAGGCTGTAGCCGAACCAGAGATATTATAACCTGTGTGGGTGGGACTAGTTTGTGGAGTTTTGGAGAGTTATTCACCCGTGTCCAAGTGCTCAACCAAAGCGTGTGTTTTTGTCAAGGTAACAACACTTGGTCCTCTAACAAAAAAACAACTGAGCAAAAAAACACCTCAAAATGAAACTGCTGCTGAGGCACCAGGAAGCAAATCATACGCCGGGATTAAATCCAATGATGTTCAGTTTTGACAAAAACCTGACGGGAAAACAATGGGTTTTACCTCCTCTCTTTCCCTGGTATAAACATATCTGCCTTTCCTGTGCGCAATCACTCCTCCACCTGTCTCCATAAATATCAAACCTCCCTGTGCCGGAAGCTGCCTTCAAAATACAAGTCTGTGTCCTTCTGTCTTTTATTCTTTGACCTCGCTGTCTCTCAGGTTGGCCGCAGACTACCCTCGGTCCGGCTCCTCCCTCTCCACGGAGTATGGCAGTTGGCAGATCGTTTCTGGTTGTGGCAGCATCCATGACCACGCTCACTTCCCCCCCCCTCTGACCTCAGCCTCCTCCACCTCGTCTGCTGTGGCTGCTCCCTACGACTCCCCCCTGCCCTTCAGTTTTCAGGATGAAGGACCCAGTGGACGAATGTAAGTAACACGCACCTGTCCAGCTTTCTTTTACAATGCTGTTAGAAAAGGTAGGTCAGTTTAAACCAGGGGTGGGCAAACTTCTTTGCTCGGGGGCCACTATGAGTTTTAAAATTTAACAGACGGGCCGGGCCAGTAGCAGATCGGTGAAAAAATATTTAGCTGTCCACTCCTCATTAAACACTCGGCACTCATTGTCGACTTTTCTTTTCTTTGGTCCACTCATTGTTACAGATGCAGGTTCAAAGGTGAATTAGGTTCAAAGGTGAATTATTGCGTCATTGCATCATCGTTTGCATCATGACGTAACCGTTTACGTGTCTTCTTATGACCCACACAGCGTTTTACGTCGCTGATTTTCTCCGAAACACCGCTCACAACAACATCAATAGAGAACTACGTCGGGTCGTTTTTAATTATACAAAGCCAGGTTAAATTAAAGAACTACTTCTCCAACTTTATAATTTTCTCCTGAGTGCCGTGGTGCATTGTTTATTAATGTGGATCAGCGGCATTACCGCCCGCTGCAGCGCTGCTCGTCCACCGGAGTTTATTCTCCCGTTAACTCACGGCAGCGGCCGCTCTAAGGTATTCACTGTCTGACTGTCACACAAGCAGCTGATAAATATCCCCAGTTCCCCATAAGTGAATGTGTGTCAGTCTGAATTGACGCTGTTTGGCATCACAACGCTGTTATGAAAGTTTCTCTGGCATTCTACAGGTGATGTTAGCATAGCAACCGAAGCTAATCAGACTATCTTGACTACTTGTTGCTATCATATTGTGGCATAAGCCGTTTTCTAAACGCATATTTTACCGGCCTTAGTTTTCGTTATGATTTTACTTTTGATGGCCACATGTAGCCCATGTATTGATTCCATCCGATAGCTGCAATAATACAAAACAAAACGTCTGCCTGCTCTCCACAATGATCAATGACAGCGAACGGATGGTCATTTAAGTAAGGTCAAATAAACAGAATCACACTCAGCCTGGTTAGTGTTGCCTGACTTTATATAAGTGATTTTTATAAGTGTGTGGTCGCGTTCTAGTCACTTTGCTCAGCGCTACTGCTTGTTACAACTTGTATTCGCTGTACTCGCCATGAACTGTTACTGCTCAGGTTAATCTCGACCTCCTCCAATGTAAGCGTGACGTATTGGATCTTGCCGGGTTGCCGAGTGGGGCCTGCTGAATAGACCAGACTACAGCAACGGTCAATTGTGTCTAGAGTGCGCCATCTAGTGGGATCGACTGAAATGCCGGGTATTGCAGGAAAAAGGCAAAATGAATGCGGTCTTTACTATAATTTGGACAATTTTAGTACCAATATTCGGCGGGCCGGATTAAAAAGCCCGACGGGCCGTATATGGCCCGCGGGCCATAGTTTGCCCATGCCTGGTTTAACGGGTGGGATTGTCAATAATTTACCAACCTTATCTTTCTGTTTGTATTAAGAAAAATGAGCTCCCCCTGATAAATGAAAGGGTCAATGTTTAGATCAAATTAGCAGCTTATAACTACTTTGCACTACAGATCGGGGATGTTAAGCCATCCATTTATATTGAAAGGAACCACTTGTCATTTTTAGTAGCAAGTTATGGTGTGTTTCTTTTGTTTAGATAACTGGAAAATAAGCCATCAGGTTGCATGTTGGTACACATTGGTTTCCTGCACTGCGGCTGCCAAATTGAATTTATTGAAATCTCCAATACCAACGTAAGAGCTTGTGCCTCTTCGGGGGGTGCTAACACTTAACCATAAACTTTATCGTTTACTTTCTCCGTCTTTATATGTAGATATGACTTTTCTCCGTTAATCTCCGTCACGTTGTTTCCATAGCAACAACAACTTCCTGTCAACAGCGCTAACTCTCCTTCAAAATAAAAGCATGACCATACAAAATAGGAAGCCAAGCCAAATTACACTTAAGACATATATAACTGCAACGAAAGTAACAAACACAATGCGATATCCTTTTCAATTTCAAAGAACACAAATTGGGTTATTTACATTAACAAAGAACTATAAAATAACAATACTGTAGAATAACAAAATGAATGCCGTGAATAAACGGAAATACACGCGTTGAAGCGGTTCGCTGCTGATTACTATGCAAAAAAGAATATAATCAGTGATAGAATACTGTTGACTGAAACAACTGAAATGAAAAATGATAACAAGTAGAGTGCCGGCATACTGATAAACAGTCTTTGTTGGACATCCATTCCACAGACTTTATGAAATATCTTTATTTGGTCAAGTCCACCCTATATCATTTTAAATGTATACTTTTAATGATGATGAGAATAATGAAAAATGATCATTCCCCCCAATCTTGTGAATTTCTCTAAATCCTGCAGGCCTGATGATGATAATGATGATGATGAAGATGATAATGCTGACGATGATGATCATAATGATGATGATAATGAAAAGTGAGCTGTGTGATGATTCATGATAAGTAAATGATGGGGTTAATCCATCCTGCTTCCGCCTGCATCATTCTGTTGAATCAATATTCATATAGCCAAATATCTTAGATTACACGTGACTCTGGGGCTTTACAGTGAGAACAGCCGACAACACTGTCCCTACACACGCACTAACAAGGAGAGAATCCTAACCCCACAATTAAGGGGGGGAGATGGGGAGATTGACAGAGGAGGATCCCTCCCAGGAATTCTTCTTCTCTTCGGAATTCTTTGTGGACTTCCTCTTGTTTCTTATTATTGAATATAGCACTTTTAGAACTTTTTGGGGATTTCAAATGGAAACTGTCACACACAGTGAAATGTAGTCTCTGCAGTTTACCCATACAAGTATTGGTAGCAGTGGGCAGTCTAGGTATATACTTTATTCGTCCCAAGTTCGGACATTGTTTTCTCACAGCAGTGCCTTGGTCTGTTCACGGCCTTGAGCCTATGACCTTAAGGATCCCAATCCAAGTCACTACAGCCTGAGCTACTGCTGCAGAGTTTCTCTCCCTAACCCTTTCCTCCCTGTCTCACCTCTCTCCCCCTTGCCTCCCCCAGGTGTCCCTTCCCCTCGGAGCGTCAATCCCGTCTGGAGGCGGTGCGGGAGGTCTTCCTGGCAGCCTACAGCTCCACCGTGGGCCTCAAGTCCTCGGCCCCCAGCCCCTCCACAGCCATCACGGGCCTGCTGGAGCAGTTTGCCCGGGGGGTTGGCCTCCGGGGCACCAACGCCATCGTCTGAACCCTCTCAATGTGACCCCCCCCCCGCTTCCATCTACCCAGCCAGAGCCCGTGCAACACGCCTGGACTCCGTAGAATAAAGTGCCAAACATCTCTGCTCATCAGGGGAAGCACTCGTCTTCCTCCTCCTTTTGATTTCCAACTTTTCTCTGGACTTTAATCTTCCATGTTCAGTCGCTTTCAGGGAGGGAAATATTTCAGCCACAGAATCAAAAAGGGATATTAGGAAGGCTCTGTAGCTGCTGAAATGTGAATGTGTGAGAACAGGGTGTGTGTGTCTGTGACAGGCAGGACACACACATGTCTTACTTCCTCTGTTCCGTTCATACATGTTTTTATGCTTCAGGGTCCCTGCAGTGACCGTCCCATGTACAGGCAGCGATATGTGTTCTCTTGTTTCGTGCTGCTATTCATTTCTGATGCAAGCAGAGAATGTTGTTTTGTCCAGGTGCGTTTTAAAGATAAATACAGCACTTAGTGTTCAGACAGAAATGTTTTTCTGTTTCTTATTTGGCCCAGGAGAGGATCTAAATATCTAATCTATTTACAGCCTAGGGTCTAGATTTAAAGGTAAATATTACAGTCTGTTTTAATGCAAAACTCACCAGCCATATGAACGCTGAAAGAGTTACTGTAATAATGCCATCTGTCCTCCCTGGCAGTGAAGGGTTGGTGCGAGTTGGGGAACTAAATCTCCCTACGCTGTTCGGTGATCCCACAAGCACTTTTTTTTAAACGTTCTGAAACTTTGAGCCTCATTGTGCTTCAACTGAAGTACTCGAAGCAGTTTGTACCACGTCTGGAGCTGTTACCAATGGTCCGACCTGGAGGCAGCCTCTGGACAGACGGGATGATAACAGCGACTCTTCAGCGTGCGTACTGCATGGGAGGAAGACAGTCTTAGTCAAATAGGCTCTGATCCTTTTAAGTAGATGAGATAAAAAGAGAAGATCGTAACCCAAGAAATGAAGTTTATCCAAGCTACCGTTTCACCTCGCCACTGTCTCCATATCCTCCTAAAGTCCATATTCATCACTTGTTCTTCTTCAGTAGCACTGACACGGTAGCACAAGAGGCACTGAGCATCGTGGTAGCAGATCTGTGAACCCAAGGCCTTTCAGAGCTCTTTCCCGACAGACTCAGCGCAGACCCCTGCCCAGCTGATAAATCACAGAGGTTGTTCCAAAACATGTGCGTCCTCTTCCAGGTCGCACTGGGAAGGACATTTCTACCTTTTGGTTAGATGTACACTTTTAAGTAATTTTCTTAAGAGAAATCTGTTGAGTTTTCATTTGAGACGAGCTTGTTGGTGCCGCTGCTGAACCTCAGGACCTTTTTGTTGTGCCTTTTTATCTTCAGTAACACTGGATCACACCTCCACTGCTGCTCCAGCTTCGGGTCCTTTTCTCTTTTGAAATGGCTTTAAGAGCTTGGGGAGTTGACTGCATTAGCATTAGCAGCGTTAGCTTTGCATAAAGCTTTTGGGGTGTCCCGTTGATTGCTCATTCTGTCGTTTTGTTTTCATTTAACAAATCTGTTGAGTCTGATGGACACCCCCGAGGAGGTTGGGATGGGATTTCGGTCAGTCAGCCCAGGAATAGTAAGATTTTCACCTCTGCCTTTGAAAAGGACGGTAAGAGAAGAGGATTTTATTGATTTTAGGAATAATTGTTGTAGGAATTCTGGGAAATACCTTTATTCACTTTATTTTTATCGGTGATGTGAGATGATTGACACCAATGTCGGTGTTTTAAATACAGCGCTAGAGCAAGGATGCATATGGTCTATATTAGCCTAAAGATTAGCTTTAAAGTCAAACAAAATGTGATAACAACATCCATAAACCTCGATTCCCATCTACTATGTAGTCTGTTAAAACGGAGCATGGGTAAACAAATCAGTCGGTTTACGGCTTGGGTTCGGGATATTTTTCAGATTAGAGGTACTCTGCCAGAGAGGTGATGTTTTCAGTTTGGTTTGTCTGTGATCGGGGTACAGAACTACTACCTATAAAACTTGGTAGGAAGTGTAGCTTGAACCAAAGAGCAAACCATTATTGATCCAACTCAAAGGTTGGAATCAAATATTGTTGTACTTTGTGAGATAGGCCAGGTCATTCGCCCTTCCAGTTCCCTTTTTCTAGTCTTATGCTAAGCTAGACTAATCACTTCCTGTCTCTGAGGTCTGTACTTAACACACAGACATGAAAGTGGAATCGATTTTCACATCTCAATCTCATCATTTTCAAATGTTCTTTCTACATGTGGTGTTCTGATTCTGAACTACATTCTGCTGAGCTGATCTGAAGCAAGAAATGTGTATTTCTTTATTCTTGGCATTAAGTGATTTGAGAGCATTTGGTTTGTATGGCTACATTTATGAGTTTCTGCATGGGCTGTCTTAAGTGTTTATTTTGTACAGCTTTACTTGAGACTTTCAGGCGCGGTCTCCTCCCCGGTCTGGTTTTAAGCTTTCTTTTTAAGATACCCTTCCTGTAAAGGAGTTTTGATTCAGTTGAGGTTTCATATCGGTTGTTTGTATTCTGCCATCCTTTCTACTGTCTGTCTGCATCACAGTCACATAGTCATTTTCAACATGTTGAACAGTTCTTATACTTTGTTACTACAGATACTCTTTTCACTCACTGGTTTTGCATGACATCCTCCGAGTGTATCTCAACTGCGGAATATAATGTTTTTTATTTGTTTGACAAATGACTTTTATTTTTTATTTGATTTCAGAATCTCTTTAAAACGCTGCATTGCACTCGTCCTGATGTTCTCTCTGTAGAGTTATCTCTGTACAGTTGATGCATTTTTAAATAACTCTCCCTTTTCGTTTTTGTTATACATGTCTCTTAACTGTCGGCCGGCGACAGGCTACAATAAAAGGTGAACTGAGCAGCAGGTGGCAATTGTGAATAAACAACAAAAAAATGAATATCTTTGTAACTTTTTTTTGTGTAATTGGCTTCAGCTCATTGTTTTTTTTAAATGTATGTATTTAGTACAGGCCAGAGGACACAAACAAGGACACAAAGTAAAATACAATAACAAATTAACAGTATTAACATTCATTCAAAATAACAAAAGGAACAAAACAAACAATTATTATAGACAAAATAAACAGTCAGTAGGATGACTTCAACACTTCAGATAACCAGGTTGACCGCTCAATACATCCAACAACCAGAAACACACACGCAACATGCCGTGTTTTCCATTTCATCTTGTGGTGTGCCACTTTTAGATCTTTTGTGGCAATAATAAAGTTAAATAAATGTTCTTTGCAATCCATTTTTTGAACGCCTTAAATTTAGATAATTCCATGATTGAGTTTACATTTGTATTTTTTTGTGACTTTAATTATTTATTTCTTGTTGAAATAGATTTGCTTTATCAGATAACCTCAGTAGCTTCCAATATATTCATCTTCATGCATGGTTGGTGAGACATATGAACTATTTACTCGACGTCCCTTAGTGGCCGAGCCGACGCTAAGTGCTGGTTCTTAACACACTTTTCCAAACTAAGTGCAGTTTGGAAAAGGAGAAGCAGTTATATAACCGATGTGTCAAATTCCCACTTGGTAGTTCTGCTGAAATTCAAAGCAAATATAACTATGTTAAGCAAGAATATGGTAATGGGAGAAAGAAGAAGAGGTTCTGAGGTCAGAGGTCGGCCCACACTGAAGCTGTCCTCTTGTCCCGCTGCCTCAGAGGTGTAAACACTGGAGTGTTTGAGTGGCTCATTCATTATTTATTTATAAAAGATGTATCATGTGGATGGCACTAAATTATTCTTGCTGATTTCAGATGTGCAAACACTTAGGATTCAATGTGTGAGAGCTGATCAGTGTGGGGGGAGCGGCTCCGCCTCGTTCACTTCACTCTCTTTTCCCTCTCCTCTTTGCAGTTTCTACTTTTCTGCATCTTCATATTACTTAAATGTTCAAAATTGTAAAAACCTTTAAATGATGAACTATGCATGATCTGTACTTTTAGTTTTGGTACTTCGCTAAGTATTTGGTAAGTATATATGATTCTTATACTTTTGTATTTGTCATTCAGTAAAACAACATGAATGCAGGACTTACATTGCTTAGTATCGCTACATTGTAGTATTAGTACTAAGAGTATTAGTACTAAGAGTGTAGTATTAGTACTAGGAGTGGAGTATTAGTACTAGGAGTGGAGTATTAGTACTAAGAGTGGAGTATTAGTACTAAGAGTGGAGTATTAGGTGTAGTATTAGTACTAAGAGTGGAGTATTAGGTGGAGTATTAGTACTAAGAGTGTAGTATTAGTACTAAGAGTGGAGTATTCTCCCACCTTTGTGTAATGGGAGCATGTGATAGAGATGCCCATTCAGAGGAAGAAGCTCGTCTGTAGAGCTGTCGGAGAGCAAAGGTCAGCCTGTTCTGTTTCAGATGGCTTTAGTAGTTCACGCTGACATGCTACTGTCAGGCTTAAGAAATCCGGTTTATTTTCATCCAGGTCATTTGTTTTTCTGGAAGCATTTTGATGATTGATTTTCAAACTGAATTAAGTTCTATTAAATTACAGTGTGTTATGAATGTCACAAGGCTCAGGCCCCAAATGCACGACACCAGAAGCAGGTCAGGATTAACAAAGTATTTAATAAAAGGCAAAAACACAAAACGCTCACTCGGATCAAAACTGAGAAACCATAAGATCAAAAACGCTAACTAAACATCTACTTGGATTATCAAAAAACGTAACACAAAGAGTCTATCAAAAATAGACTTAGCAAGGTCAAGGGATGACTGGCAGACTTGGTGAGACAAGACGAACTGGCACAGGACAAGGGGAGATGCAGACTATGGGTGTTTCTCAATCGCGAGTAAAGCTGCTTCAGAGCCACTATTTCAAGCATACTACGTCATCGAGTGCCGCCGAAGTACTGTTCCAATCTCCAGCATACTTGGAAATCTACCGAGCCCGGCGTACTCCGTTTGGAGAAATATCGAGTCTGCACATGAGTAGACTCCGCGGCCTTAAAATCCCCACAATGCTTTGCGCACGGACCAATTTCCCCAAATCTGTGGCGGAAGATGTAAGGCGGGGCCTCTCATATGACGCACACCTGCACACTTGCTAGCGTGTTCCACACTTCGTTTTCCGAATGGCAGGAAGTATTCTTGCCTCGCTTCTGAAGCAAGATGCTCGGCAGACATGTGCTACCAAGCAAGCGTACTCGCGATTGAGAAACACCCTATATATACACACTAGGTAAGGGGACACAGGTGGCAACAATTAAGGGAGGGGCTGACAATCACACTGGAGGGAAAACACAAGGGCAGGAAAGGCTCTGAAACGAGAGGGAAAGGTTACTACAAAAATATAACAGGAAGTCACAAGACAAGGCAAAAGACAAAGGATTGAACTAAATGAATTAACTTAACATAAATGTCTAGACACCACACAGTGCACTTTTATTTTTAAATAAAGGCAAAATTCAAACCATGATCAGCATTCATATGATTGGCTGTAATTGAAACCTATACTAGCAGTACAGGCTGATTTTCATAGTGTGCTATTTGCAAACAACAGTATTGATATAAAAGTCTCCAGTATGGGTTGGTTTGTACATAAAGATGGATTAAATGTCCCAAATATGAAGCAAAGAATGTTGATGGCCAACTCATGAATTAACTATGGTTTCTTAGCACATAGCTTGCTTAGTTATAGTGTCTTCAGTGCTTCTATTGATGGTGGACGAAGGGGGGTTGTTGATCTCACTCAAACAAACAAATGTGGCAACAACACATGTAGAGAATTATGTATACAGCTTCGATTTCGTATAAATCTTCTTTTAAAGCAGGAGTGGGCAAAGAGCCAGACAACACTGAATATAATGAGCAGTACAGTGAGAGCAACAACCTCGCAAAAGACATACAGCAAGGCAAAGCATAACGTTTATGCTACACTAGTAACTGGGTCAGTGTATGTTTTGGTCATTGGATTTTCTTTTCACAAATGGAAATTCAAAAACAAAAAACGACTGGATATTTGATTTTCGTTTTCAAATTGAAAAACCAAAATTGAAATACAAGGCGTTTTTCTTTATCACGGTCAAAAAGGGATTAATTAAACTTAAAAAACGGGATGATTTTCATTTTCTACTTCTCAAAACAAAAAATAAAATCACTAAAAAACAGAAACCAAAAAAACCCCCGTTTTTTCATATTCTGCTACCGGAAGTTGTCTTTCAAAATAAGAGCGCAGATGAGGACGGTCAATCCGTGTATCGACGGTCCATTTGTTTTCACAACGAAAACAGCCAAGACACATTGAGCCCAGAAAATGAATGTTATTAAGGGCTGTAAATATAATAGGCCTATGTCTAAAATGGACAACATTGTTAGATTTAAACTATACAGCGATTCTGCACTGCACTGCACTGCACTGCTCAGCCGTCTCTCGAGTTTGTTATAATTTTTTCTGCCATTAGTTCTTCGTGAGATCGATCCTGTTGGACTCAATAGGCTAGTAGTGAAACTACTCCCACAAGTACTATGAAGTACTTACTGTGTACTTTTTGAGTAATCCTCTGTCAATGTCCCCTCCTGAGAACAAGAATGCATGTTTCTCTGCTATTTTGAATCAGCGTTAAAACACCTTTCTTCATGAGACTGATATTGTTGGACAGAGTATTTTAAGAGGATATGGTAGACATGATATCAGCAATACTTCCAGTCAGTAGTCCGGCAGCAGCATTTTTACCCCTTGGAAAGTCTTGCCCGCTATTTAAATTGACTTTGATTGAAGTTAATAACAATATTGATATTATATAGATATATAGATATAGCATATTTGATGCAGTCTTTCTGAACACTTTTTAAATAAAATACTGCAAATTAAGAATATTTGTAATGTTCTGCACAGATAGTGCCTTAACTTGAATTTGAAAACACGTGGCAGCTTTATTAATACAGCAGTTGAAAAGATTTGTGGAAGGATAAAGGGCGTTTTATGGTTGCGTGTATTATCCTCAGATAGGGGTTTGTTTAAATAACTAGTGACATTTTAATAAATATTGCAAAAAAGGGCTCCAAAAAAGGCATATATCCTGGCCGGCTTAGCCAGTGTGTATTTCTTCAAGCACCACAAGATTCATAGTTTATAAAGTACAATTCTGGGCCATTGATTGTGTCATTTCTCCAAACTCATACAGTAAAAATGGCTGTTTTTGAAGCCTTAAAATGGTGCAGGAAAAGGACTTTACATTGTATTATACTTAAAGACAGGACTATTCAGTTAAGAGAAGAGAAAAAATGAAAGAAAACTTCATGGGTTACATGGGTGATGTAACATTAATGACAGACATAATATGAGGTCCTTGGCACACATTTTGTGATCATGGGGCATCACCCTTACAGCATCAGGACAATATCATATGGAGTCAGACACTGGAAGTGTGCTGGAGGCGTTGACTGGGACTGATGGAAGGATGAGGCTGATGAGACTGAAGAATCTGCGAGGAACACATTAGCGGCTGAGAAATAGTTATATATTAAAAGACAGCAGCATCATAAGAGGGCAACCAGAGTGACAGAGTGTGTTACTTTGCTGAAGGATATTACTACTAACAATACATTGAAGTAATTTTACTGTGTACTTTTTGAGAAATCCTCTGTCAAAATCCCCTGCTGATAACAAAATCAAGCCACTTCTGCTAAGTTTGATGAGGGAATTATTTTTTGTTGCCATTAGTTCTTTGTGAGATTGATCCTGTTGGACTCAGTACTACTGAAACTACCCCCACAAGTAGCTACTATGAAGTACTTACTGTGTACTTTTCCAGTAATCCTCTGTCAATGTCCCCTCCTGAGTACAAGAATGCATGTTTTTCTTTTAATAAGCGTTAAAAAACATTTCTTCCTGAGACTGATATTGTTGGACAGAGTATTTTAAGAGGATGGTATGATATCAGCAATACTTCCAGTCAGTACTCCGGCAGCAGCATTTTTACACCTTGGAACTTCTTTAGAGACTGGCCTGGATAGGCTACTATGGAGGGGACTCTGACAGAGGATTACTCACAAAGTACACAGTAAAAGTACTTCATTTCATTTCTGGTAGTGTAGCACCCATAAGGTTGAGGTTGTCTACCTGCACATGCATGTTTATACCACAAGGGGGCAGATCACCTGATGGTTCATCATTGTTTTATGCTGGAGATGAACAGAAGTGTGTCTGTGTGTTGTGCTTTGAGATCGTTTGAGATGCTGACATCTTGCACATGTGCCTTGTGGAAGTTAATAAATGAACGTTTTCTACACCTATAATACCCTTGCGGTCTGAGTGGTGTAACAGTAGCAGTCAAATTAGTACAGAGTCCAACAGTGTCAGTTTTATTAAGAACTTGTGGACAAAAAGATTTGTATCACTCATTGAATATAGCAGGGAAAAAAATGAAGAGCAGCTGATTTGAAAAATCAAACTCGAGAGACGGCTGAGGTGACCAGGTGCCAGAAAGCCACAAGTGGGACAGAGCTCTGTCCCACTTGTGGCACAAATATACTCTAGAGTTTTTTACCAAAAGTTCTTAATAAAACTGACACTGTTGGACTCGGTACTAGTTTGACTGCTACCAGAAATGAAATGAAGTACTTTTACTGTGTACTTTTTGAGTAATCCTCTGTCAGAGTCCCCTCCATAGTAGCCTACATTATACATGTTTATCTGCTATCTTTGATGAGTGATAAAAAGACAATTTTACCATTAGTTCTTAATGAAATTGATACTGTTTGACTTTGTATTAGTTAGCCTACTACTACAATACATTGAAGTAATTTTACTCTTTACTTTTTGAGAAATCCTCTGTCAAAGTCCCCTGCTGAGAACAAAATCAAGCCACTTCTGCTCTAGAGTATGTTTGTGTGGGACAATGTGGCCCGTGGGACATGTAAATGCAATGTCGACGCGTGAACTGTCAACGGGGGGTGGAGAGACATGGACGCTCGTGAACTGTCAGCGGGGGGTACACTGTGAACCTCTGTCGCTGTCAGCGCAACTTACATGATGCCGTTTAAAACCATAGACTATATATGTAAAGTTTAAAACATATAATAATAAAGGGCGGTGCCGGCCGTCAGCGAACCGAGCCGGCCTTTCTCCGCATCTGATTCATGTCATAAATCAGATTTTAGAAAAGCGTTTTAGCCAATCAAAATGAAATATGCGGGACATCGTCTCAATTTGCGGGACCCACCAAAAGTCGTGAAAATGCTGTGCAATACCGCACAAAGCGGGACATCTGGTCACCCAGACGGCTGAGTTGACCGCAGTGCATAATCGCTGTATAGTTGAAATCTCCTAACAATGTTGTCCATTTTAGAAATAGGCCTATTATATTTACAGCCCTTTATAACATTCATTTTCTGGGCTCAAAGTGTGTCTTGGCCGTTTTCATTGTGATCGCTAAATTCCCCTTGTTTATAATAATCACAGTTCCTTCAACAGGATACTGTAGTGATTCAAAGTGTGATTTTAGCATAGCCGACGAGTGCTTTTGTTTTGAAATCACTTCCGTGAGTTTCGTCTGCGCTCTTATTTTGTAAGGTAACTTCCGGTAGCAGAATATGAAAAAACGGGGTTTTTTTTTGTTTCTGTTTTCTAGTGATTTTATTTTTTGTTTTGAGAAGTAGAAAATGAAAATCATCCCGTTTTTTAAGTTTAGTAAATCCCTTTTTGACCGTGATAAAGAAAAACGCCTTGTATTTCAATTTTGGTTTTTCAATTTGAAAACGAAAATCAAATATCCAGTCGTTTTTTGTTTTTGAATTTCCATTTGTGAAAAGAAAATCCAATGACCAAAACATACACTGACCGAACTGTAATGTGAATTTTCTGACCATAAAAATGTATTACAGATTTTTTCTTACCTAACCTGAGAGAGCAGATTCTCTAGTAGTTGAATGTGATGATTTGCGTTTATGTTCACTTAAGTACACACATGCTTACACAGTTAGTGATGTGTTAGCAATATCACATTCGAACAGGTTTGAAAAAGGAAACCTCTTTTGAAGAATGTTTAGGCGCTGTAAAATGGGATTCATTTGGGGCGGAAAAAAATCAAATTATTTTTGAGTCCTTCAACCCAATGCTGTCTGTACTCAGACCTTAAAGGTGGGGTAGGTAATTTTGGAGAAACCACCTCGAGTGCGCAAGAATTTGAAAATACACAACCGGAAAAAATCTGCCACTTCCTTACAGAGCCCCTCCTCCAACACACACGAACGCGCACATGACCAATGAGGGCACGAGATAAGTTTGTGCACAGATGGAAGGCTGACAGGCAGGTGGGCCATCCAGTTATTTTAGCCGGGCCGGCTTTATTATTATTATTACGGCTTCCACAGATGACATTTTTTTATGGATTTTTTTTCAAAGCACTTAAGATATTCATTGCTATCGGGATGTTAAGAGCATTCCATGGAATATAACAAAAAGTGTATCTCGAGCGGGTTTCTCAAACTTACCTACCCCACCTTTAATGATGCTGTAAAAGGAATGGAGAAAATCTTCTTCGTGAACTCTTCTTCAACCAACAAAACTAAAACAGGACAATTCTGAAAATCAGACGGATATTGTTATAGATATGTGAACTGTCAACTGTGTTAAACAGTTGAGAATGTGCCACCAGACAGCCGAACCTACTGGAGGGTCTCTGCCTCCACCGATGGATGGAGAGAAAGGAGGAGCTCTCTCTCTCTCTCTCGCTCTCTCTCGCTCTCTCTCTCTCTCCTCCTCTCTATGAATGGAGCTCTTCCTCAGGTATGCCTCCTCTCCCTCCGCTGCGCTCCAGCCGTCCGCAGGAACACTTCTTCAGCCGGAGCAGATTCCCTCCGCGTCTCAGTGACTCTCTCTGGATGAAACCCATCAGAGCCACAGGAGAACTCGCGCTGTGATAGAAGTGAGAACTTGGAGGATCCAGAGGAAGTGATTAAAGCCTCAGTCATGGCGACAATAGGGGACTTCGACCCGCTCAACTCCACCGTACCTGCGACCAAGATAGAGATCACCGTCTCCTGCAGGTAACAGCGTTCACACACACCTGCAAACACTCATCTGTCATCTCACACTCCCACATCCTGGATGCTTGGTGGGAAATATAATCTCTGAGATTATCATACTCTTGTGCGTAATTTCCTGGCGTTTTCTATGAAGCTCAGATTGTTCCTCTCGCTTTAAATCAGCGTTTTGGTTCTTTAAAGTGCATGGAGCAACTCTTCTGTATCCTGAGGAGGGATTTGCATGTGCTGTGGGTGTAGATGTGTGTGGGGGTGCAGCAACTATTCTGAGTGTCTTGGAGAGCTCCGGAGAGACTCAGAGATCACAGTGCGTGGATCATGTTCTCACTGTGAAGAAGGATCAGTGGCGGCGCCAGAGATTTTCTTTTGAGGGTGCTGTGGGGTAGCTTGACGTTTCATAGAGGGTGCTCAAACATGTAGGGTTTCCCATTAAGGTACCGGGCGCTACAGTGGAATTTTCTACTGCAACACTCCCCACACGCACACAGTACACCCGCGACTGTTACAATGAAGGCTCGATAATCAGCTCATGGCATATAGGTGTAAACAGGGGTAAAGTGCTATTTTTTTAAGTGGGGGGGTGGACGGCCTAACATCATCTAGGGGGGTCATCACCTCCTCTAGGGGGGTCCGGGGGCATGCTCCCCTGGGAAGATTTTTTTTTAAATATTGAAGTTAAAAGCATCAATCTGGTGCACTTTGAGAGCAACATGGAGAGATCTATGGATACATCTCTCAACACCCATTTGAAACAGAACTGGAAGCAGATTTTCTTTATGGATATTTTACAAATCACTCCCCTTTTAAACTGTATTCTTGTTTATTAATAACTTTGTTTTACTGTCATATAGTATTTTATACCTGTTTACTTTATTCTCTTATTTTTTTATAACTATAATGATCATATAAAGATGTGCCTTTACCTCACTGGTTGGAGAAAAAGCTTCTTATATTCGTTAGCATAGTTAGCTAACCAGATGCTAATAACAACAAAGTTATTGACTGTATGATCAGTATGACAGATGAACAGATTGCCACTGGGCTTTCAACTAAGACACAGCCACGCAAAAACTGCGGCATGTGTACGGCTCCTTATGGGTAGGCTACTGACATTTGTGAAGTGGCGGAGCGGAGCGGCGTTCTGGTGCTCTCCTGCAGAACTGCACCCCTGTCAGGCGGGACATATACCACGTGATGACACTAGTGATGTGTCGGTCGCGAACGAGCCGGCTCTTTTAAGTGAACGACGGGAGCCGGCTCGCGCCCGCGAACGAGCCGTTTTTTTGTTTTTGTTATTTTTTGTTAAGTAATACAAGACAGAATGATATGATGATCTTCGCGCTACAGCTGCTCCGTGCATGCATGCAGTGACATGTAATATCCAAGGATTAGAGACTGTTGGACAGAGGTGGGACCAAGTCATTGTTTTGCAAGTCCGAGTCAAGTCTCAAGTCTTTGCGCTCAAGTCCAAGTCAAGTCTCAAGTCAGGATGGGAAAGTTCAAGTCAAGTCCAAGTCCTAAACTTTGACAAAACAAGTCTTAAACAAGTCCTTATGTGCTTTTCAACAAATGTAATGACATCGATCAACAGAATAATACTTAATAATCAAACTGCTCTTTATTAGTCACATTAATAATTTAATAATCCATTTTCTCTCTGCTGGTAAAGTAACGTGTTTTTCTTCTATTGTAAGAAGGATCAGTAAGGTAAGGCTGCCGTGACGGTTTGATTCAGAAGGAGTTTAATGTATAAGATCCCTGATGTTGAGGTGACCAGAATGTTTATTTCCACTGTGTACAGCATGTTATAAGGGACCCACAATCTATCTTTATGCAAGGGATAATGTGCAGCGAGGCGTCTCTATGGGGAAAAGAACACCTGCATCTAGATCCCTCTGCAGGTGGTACTTTCACTATATTTTGATGATAATACTTTTTTACTTTTACTTGTAACATTTTGAATGCAGGATCTTTTATTGTAACCGAGTATTCCTACACTCTGGTACTGTTACTCAAGTACAAGATCTGAACTTCTGGCAATAAATCCTGAGTGGTTACCAAAAAAAAAACCCTGCTCTGAAGGTTATTTTCATTTTACAAATCCTGCACTCAGCTTTGCTTTCTCCAATATCATTTTAATGCAGCCAGAAGCTGCTCCTTTTTTCGGTTTTCGCAAATGTCTTGACTTTTTCCGACGCGCTTGCATTTAAATCCGGCAATTGGCCACAGCAAATAATTGATATTAAACATGTAATTTTTACTTTTGAATACTTCAGTACAAAGGATGTATTGAATAATTTAAGTGATATGTGTACACATATAAATCATTAGTCAAAACAGGGCTACATTTGCAGTGGCGTTTTTATATGTACAAAAGTGGTGGGGCACAAAAAACTTAGATGTCTATATATAAGCTTCTGCAGTGACGTGCAGTGAGGTTCATGGCTGGTGAGGCACTGGCACTGACTCTTCAGGTTTACAAATATTATATTTTGACCTAAACCAAAATATAATATTATTTTCAAAAGCTTTTTTTGTCTGATGCTTCGATTAATTTTAAACAGACAGTTCAACAAAAGGATACCCAAAAAATGTAATTTTATCATTTAAATATTGAATTGTTCTCTCTTAGTAAGATCCCATTTTCAATAAAATGGCGGTCTTACCTTGACTTGAAGATGAAGTCCATTTGCCTATCCTTCTGGACAAACATTTCTATTACTTTTTTGTAAAAGTCCTCCTTATCTTCTTGTAGTTTCAAAAGTCTATCATAAATCTAATCGATAGATTTATGATAAAAAAAATTATAAAAGTAGGGTAGAGCTATTTTCTAAAATCCTCTGGAGAAATCTCATTGCTTTTTTGTGCTTACTTCCTGGTTTTAGGACGCGCCACTGCAGCTCTCTCGTCTCCTCTTCAAGCACCACACTTTTCGCGGCACACGTACTTACAGCCAATCAGCTCTGAATGATTTGAGATGACGTATGGTGGGGATGGAAGCTCCGTGCCCCTCTGGTCATTATTCTTTTGCCACACACATTACATAGAAAAATACTCTGAGCATGCGCAGTGTAGTTTTTACAGTCACCGTTCACTTCACAGCGAGAGGAAGGGGCATAATCAGGTTTTGTCCCACATGGCTCTAAACAGCTCAATAGGCACACACTGTGACTGTAGACACACTAATTAGAAGAACACAGACTAAAACAGCAATGTACAGACGAATCAGATGATTAAACATTATAATATATATTTTTTTTTTTATTTTTGTTTTTGCATTTTTGTAATCATTATTTGTAATACTTTCTGCTGACACTAGGTGGGGCTGTGCCCCACCTGCCCCTAATGACCAGTCGCCACTGTACATTTGATTGAATTATAAAAGGTATAATATGTGGTAAACTGAAGAGCCGTTTGGGAGCCGAAAGAGCCGGCTCTTCTTGGTGAGCCGAGCCAAATGATCCGGCTCACCAAGAAGAGCCGGAATTCCCATCACTAGATGACACGTTAGGCTCGTGTTGTGTTCAAGGACCCTGACCTAACCCAGGAAAAACAGGCACTCGCTTGTTTAATTTTTTTGCGGTCTAGATTTCTTAAATGTTTTTCTTTTTTGCGTGTAAATTACCTCGAGGGCCGTACCAAATGGTCTTGCGGGCCGTATACGGCCCGGGGGCCGGAGGTTCCCCACCCCTGATCTACACACACAACCAAATTACATCTATACCATCAGTGAGGGAAAAGAGTATAGGTGAAGAGGCACAACGTGTCTATGTCAATGCACTCTTATTAGATTCTTTGATCAACTATAAGCTTTATCAAAAAGGAAGGTCTTAAGCGCACTCTTAAAAACGGATAGGCTGTCTGCCGCCCGAACACAAACTGGAAGCTGATTCCACAAAAGTGGAGCTTGATAAGAAAAGGCTCTGGCTCCCATTGTACTTTTATGGGGCATTTCCACCATGGCGCGGAGCGCGGTTTAAGCGTGCCGTGTCGTGCCGGGCCCGTTTTTGGTTGCGCTTCCACTAGGCCTAGTTCCGGCCCGGGGGTACTTTTTCACCTCTTTTCTGGCCCGACAAAATCGTGGTTCTATCGGGGCCAACAAACAGGGCTGAGTCGGGCTGAGTATGCTAAACTAGAGAGAGAATCGCTGGCAAGGAGGCTACAACTACAACAAGATGAACATATTTGACCGTGATTTAATTGTAATACACGTTTCAAAATGATGCCGAAGTAACAACATACTGATACCGGTTAGTAAAAACCATGAATTAGATAGATAGATAGATAGATAGATAGATCGTACTTTATTGATCCCAAATTGGGAAATTGTTTTTGTTACAGCAGCATAAAAGGCATTTTACAATAAAACAAAATATACAAGAATAGAAATAAAATAAAATAAAATATAAAATAAAATATAAAATATACATGTCAAAATACAAAATAGAAAATATACATACAGATATTATATATATATACAAATATATATATATTCAAAATATATGGAATTATGGAGTATTAAATATGAAACAGATTATGTGTGAGTAAAATGTACAAGGTGGTTTTATTTCTAGAGAAACTATGGAGCAGAGAGTTCTCTTCCAGCCAGAGGTGATTTGTTGTACAGAGTTATTGCAGTGGGCAGGAATGTTTTCCAGTATCTGTCCTTGTGACAGGGGAGCTGCAGCAGTCTGTTGGAGAAGGAGCTCCGTTGACTGTCCAGCTGCAGGTGGAGAGGATGGGTGGGGTTATCCATGATGGACAACAGCCTGTTCAGTGTCCTCCTCTCCACCACAGCTTCAAAGGGTTCCAGCTTGATGCCGATGACTGACCCAGCTTTCCTGATCAGTTTATTGATCCTGCAGGTGAATTAATTAATTATTAATTAATGCTTTTAATTAATGCTTTGGCAAGTTTGCAGACAGACGGCAGGTGAAAAACCTTTTAAAATGCGTGTTTTCTAGATGGAGATTGGCTAAACTAACTCAATATATGCTCCGACC